CTCGTTTACCGATCCTTATTCTCTCATTTTTTATTGCCTAAGTTTGAGGTAAATAAAGCTATTCAAACAGATATGCAAACTTCACCCTCTTCTTCTGGGTGTAGGACTTTAATGCTGAAGTCTTGTTGCTTTATCCAATTCCCACGCTCGACAATTGCATCCCTTTGCGCGAGAAAATAGAACCTGTTTCATATTTTTTCGTCGACTTTTATTTTTATCAGTTTATTTTAAATACACATCTACCCATTTCCTATTTTTTTAAATTCATACATGCATAAGTGTTAATAATCTTGAAATTATGCGTTTATGCTGACAGTATCAGTCTTCATAATAAAAATTTCAATTTCCTCGATTGTGATTGGTTTGAAAAACTCACACTTTTTCTTTTAATTTACTTGCCAAGTTGTTATCGGAAAGTTTGTTATGGAACGGTTCGATAAGCTAATCATATCCAAAGTTGTAGTTTAAATCGACCAATCACATCCAAAGATGAGTTTAAATCAACCAACTACAGCCTCGGTTTCATTCACCATAGAAACACTAATTCCTTTGTCAGTCTTTAATGCAAATTTTCTCTTGCTTTTATAACTTGGCAATATTTCTCTTCTCGCAAATTGTAATTTTTATAATTAATTGGTAATAGGACTTCATGGAGTCTAACTTGGTCTGTAATCGCACTCGTGATAACAAAGTATGATTGCATACCGAATTGGACTCCACTCAGTCCTATTACCATTACTAATTAAGATAAATCTAGCTAATCACATCCTTTTTTCTGATGTTGTGTATATTCAAATTGATAAAGAGTGGTCATCTAGCTCATCTACAAATCCTTTAGCTGTTAACCCTTTGAACTCTAAGATTGACTTATATCTAATTTCTCCTCACAGTATCACCCCTGAATAAAACAAAAAGGTCACGAGAATAAAGGATATGATCATCAACTGAAGAACCCTTGATTGTTTAACAAATTCTCCTTGTCAAAGCCATTGGAATTATATCGAGAACAATATGGAGGAAATGCATTTTAACTTTAGCATGTAAAGCGTTAATTAAGCTATTTTGCAAAGACAAAGTACTACCTGAATGTTTATTTACATAATATGATAATGTTGAATTGCGCAATAACATTAAAAATTGCTATGACAATGTCTAACGTGCCTACATTTATTTCTTTGACAAAAACGGAATCCAGCGAACCTCTCAAAAAGGTGAAGCGAATCAAGGCAAAGCGATAGAAACGATAAAAGCGAAACAAAGTGGTAAAAAACGGCTTTGACATAATCACGCAGGAAAAAGCGTGAACTCAACTTAAACACACGCAAACTAAACCTAAACTAAACCTAAGCGCGGAAGATTGTCTGCTTTTTCCTAACTTTATCTTTGAAATTTTACCTGTAAAAAAAAAAATAGATAAATCATGTTTTTGTTTTAGGCCTAAAAACAACTATTCGCAACCATTTTAAATGACTAATTCGATAAAAATCTAACAAAAGTTTTGTATAATACCACATTTAAATTGCACTAAAAAATGCAGGGTCTCTTTTTTTTGTTTCCTAAAGAATGACGGTCTTTTTAAGAGTGTTAAGGTAAATTTGATCCTGAATCGTTCCTTACTTGTGAACAATAACACAGCTGAGAAGTCACCTGTCAATGCAAATAGTTTATTGACGATGCAAAGCAAAATAATGTTTTAATTTATCTCGTCTATATATTTCGAGAGAATATTTAAATTTTTTTAGCTGCCCCGTGTTATTAGAGGCGTACAGAATCACTTTATAAGCTTTTTTTCTCTGTTTTGTTTTCTTTTGGATGAAAATATTAGTACTTCTTTTTAACATCCTATCAATTATTCTCTTCCGATGCCACCGAAAGAAGTGAGTAATCACGCAAAGCACCGCTTGTCAGAAAAAAAAAAATAACTATGTTAATGTTGAGTAATAAAAATGATAATAATAGCAACGAAGATAATGGTAAAAATACTCTTTCTATAGGTGTATGAGATTATGGACTATTTGGTAGTTCCAGAAGTTTAACCAGTTAAAAATATGAGTTTTCAAGAAATGTTGACGTTTATGAAAGGATAACAACAAATTTTAACACGGTCTTAAACTTTATTAATATACTTCATAACAAACTACTTGGAACAATAAAAATCCCAGAAAATCAACTTGAACTTGAACAGCTTGAACTTCAAAACAAAAGAAGACGAAATTATAAATTATATTGAAAAGTTCGTTCCAGAAGCCATTTTCATCTTACCGACAGTTTGGAAAACTGACGCTGGAACAAGAGAAATGGTTAACAAGAAAATAGAGCTTAATAACTAAATACATATGCCAAACGCTAAAAACTCTTGGAATGTATGCAATTCAAATCAATTCAAATAAGTACCCTACTTAAAAGTTAATTCGAGCGAGGTGATTCTAAATCAAGGTATAACGAAGAAAAAAAAATGCATGGAGCTGATATTGGTGTTGGAATTTTGGATGTAGTTCCCTCACAAAGCTGAGGAGAACTTGATTGAGAATAATGAGTGTCAAATATATATCAGAGAGGCCGTCTCAGAAATTTCTGCTCGCTCTAAATATTTTCGCCTGTCGGTTTTTACCTTTCCTAAAGGATTTGTCTTCGCTTTCGGTGTTAATAGCACAATTCCGTAAATTTGGCAATTGTAGAATTGAATTTTTTTCGGAAATCGATTGATGTTTCCACAACTTTTTTTTTTGCATACATTATTAAAACGGGAAATGAAAATAAACATGTTCTGTATCTCATTAAAGTTATTAGGTCAGATCTGACGGGTGCTAAGACATGAACTTACTGCCATTTAGCATTTGTGTTTTACTTGGAACATAAATATAGAAGCCTGACATCAAGGAGTGAGAATGGAGAGTTCTGTGCTGCTCGTTTTCGTGACTGGGACTGCGCTGTTGACCCATCCGACGTTTGCAATTGGCGAAGGTGAGGAACAAACTTGACTCAGTTTTGTTCCAGTGTATTTATTTGTAGTTGATACTCAATTTCGGAGCGATCGTCAACAAAATTGCGAGTATATAAACGAGTTGATCGAGTTCATAATTAGTTATCAAGAAAAATTTCGAATCCCGAATAAAATTCACTTTCTTCCATTTGATAATGACGGAATCTTTTCAAGCCCGTTTTTTGCTTTAAAGAAAATTTGTCATTTCCCTTCAAAAAAAATTTAAAAACAAGTAACAAAACAAACCTGACAAGTTAGGATTAGCAACAAAGGCAGCTTAAGATTAACTTCATGCCTGTCAACTATATTTATATTGTCATGATCACCATTGAAGACCTCACACGCTAATGTCGTAAATTTCATTTTAGTTTGAAACACTGAATCGTTATGGAATCGCATAGACACAGATTTGTTGCCGCTCTTTACCGAAATCGAAAACTGTTTTGGCATAAGACACAGGGCCAATGGCGGAATATAGCCTTAGATAGCATTTCCATTATCATGCATTTTTTAGGCCGGAACATAACATTTATCCATCACAAGATGTTGATCAGCGGATATTTCTGATTAAAGGGAAGTTCTTGAGTCGAAAACTTTAAGAATACGTTTTGAACGGGGTATTACCCTAAATGTAAATTTTCCTGTTAAAATTGCGCAGGTGACTTCGATCAAAATAGACTTTCTTCACTCTATTTATGAAACTGCAACGTTGCGCTCGTTGAGATCTGCCATTCATTCAAAAGACTTATGTGTCAGAAGCCATATCTTTCTTTAATCTTCTCTCTCTTTACCATTCAATGCTCTAATAACAAATTTTCAACAAAAGAAAAAAGGATAAATTACCGATTTTATTTGTTCATCAAGTCACCCAAAGGAAACTGTGACATTTAACAGGTGGTAGTATGTTTATCAATATTTGGTAGCCATTATGGGCCAAAAATTGAAAATTTGACAATTACTTGTACGAGAGTAATGCGAAATTTGATGTACTTTTAATATTGCTTTTGCTTATAACAATGAAAATAAGAGTACTTTACCCTCATGTCATGTCAAAAACATCATTAACCCGAATATCAATCTACTACGTGAAGCACGACAACAATGGCTGTTTACAATGCAAATCCACATCAATTTCCTCTTCCTCAAGACAATCCGTTGACGAAACCTTTGCAGGCACATTTATTCCTTTCAAAACTCTCAATATTGATGAGAAAAAAAAGGTATGCTTAAAGAGAATTTATGGTAGGCTTTTTGTGACGGCTTTCGACCTAGCTCCCTCTTATGATAAAGTATTCCACAATTAAAGAAGTAACTAAAGATGCTTGTGAAACAGCAGTTGAAAGACCAATGTACGATTTGTAGCCATGACAAGGGTCTACTGATTCTCCATTCGTACCATTTTCCTCTATCACGGGTTACATATCACTTTTTTAGATCATCGCTCTCGCGAAATTACATCGGAAAGGATTTTCAAAGGTTTCCAAGGGGTCTTCCAGTTGTTTCCAATGTGTTATCATTAGGGAGTTTAGGCTATCGCGACGGCGAAATTAAATAAGCGAGTAAAATTCAACATGCAATTGTCTTAAGAACTTCGCATTAAATGGTCTACTGAAGGCGGCATCGAGACCCAGATAGAAGAATAATTTCCGATCCTAAATCTTTGTTCTTTTCTGCTTTTGTTTGTTAGTGCGGTTTCATATTTATTCGTTTTTTGTTTCAAATTTATTTTTCGTTTTCATTGGCTTGTTTTTTTTTTGCTTTATTATGTTTGTTTTTTGTTTTGGGATTTTTTCAGTGGTTATTTGAAATAATATCCTCAGCTGAAATAGAGAAGGCATGCTCGGTGCTTCTTTGTTGAATACATATGTATGCAAGTTAAGGTCATGCTCTTGCTTTACAATAAAATGACTGCGAAATTAAGAATCTGAGGCAAACTTTCCCATTTCATATAAACCTGTTGTTTTATCATTGCCTTTCCTATGGCAACTTTCTTTCTTTCAATTGTTTTATTTCAGAACGTGATCGCATTCTGCTGTTTCCCGATAACTTCTTTTTTGCTGAAAGACGGTTTGTAAACCACATCATCGATACAAAAAAAGTTAAGGATTTGGATCACTGTGAGCTTTTCTGCTACATGAACGACAAATGCGTTAGTGCCAACTTCAAAAAAGAGCCAGAGCCTGGAGGAATGACTCATGTTTGTGAATTGAATGACGCTACTCATCTGGATTATGATAGTGACCTGATAACTGATGCCAATTTTTATCATCGCGGCTCTAAGGTGAGTTACAACTAAAACTTACCTCCTTGAATTGACGCCTTATATTCGATAGAATTATGCGCGATCACCGACGTGTTCAGAAACTTTCATCCTTTTATTCACTTATCGTAGATCTTTCTCCTGCTGTTTCACATTCTTTTCTTCCTTTTCAGAACGCCTGCGGCAAGAATTCACGGTGCCAAAATAATGCAATTTGTGAGTCCGGTTTCACATTCAAGGGATATCGATGCTTGTGCCCTCCTGGATTTGAGGGAGAAAATTGTGAAAAAGGTTAGATTCAAAAGATGCCAGAAAAAGCAAAATATTGCCTTGAACATGTTTAATTTTAAAGACATTTGGTCGTCGAGTGAGTATCTTACTCCCGGGCTGGCCTTTGACGACTGGTAGCAGAGAAACATAGTGGCGTTCGGTGATTGATCTAAAACTAGACGTAACAATGGCAAAAAAACTTTAGAGGCCTTCTTTTCGAACCAAAGTAGTAGACAAAGGAAGCGCTCCCTGTAACCTGTAAATTGTGCAATGTTGCTCGCTCGAGTTAAATTGTCGAGATTGTAGTGAGTGAAAAATGGTATGAGCTGTTATACTAGCATTACTTGGTTAGTGGTTATTAGTCATCCATAAAGTTTTCGCTTTTCTAAATTAGAAAAATGGTTACAGTCTATCTCATATGATGAGAAATTACAAACATTTATTCATTCGTGTTTATATGACATTTCTCTTGTTAGAGATATTCAGATTTCAATTCAAATATACTTTTATATTATTTTACTTCACTTTTGATTCTTTCCTTTAACACTGATCTCTGATTCTTTCCTTCGGTTTGGAAATGAATCGACTGTATATGAAGACGCCCGGAACATATTTAGAGAATGCCTTATTTTACTTCTTATTAAGGCAATACAGCGTATGCCCACACCCCTGAGAGACAAGCATCAGCTAAAGTCAATCAACGAGTTATTCGTATAATATTTTGTTAACCATTTGATGTAAAAGATAACGAGACTGACATATTACCAATGCCTTCCTGTCGTTCCTAGACATCGACGAGTGTGCTTCAAATGACAATAAATGTGCTAAGGGTGCTGCCATTTGTAAAAATACGGTAGGATCATACAACTGTACCTGTCATTTTGGACATGAATGGGATGGCACTGAATGCAAAGGTTTGTTGACTTCATTTTTCTCACTAGCCTCAGAGTCGGAGGGTAGGAAATGCAACGTCTTATGGACCGTTACCTGTGTCTATATGTCCCTCTTTCTGTCTGTCTGCACGCCTGCCTGACAATTCCTCTTCACTGATACTGAAGTGCTTAGCAAGTGACAGGCGCTATGGGTTATGGTGAATTTTTTTGTTCCAGAGGGAAAATATCAAATTAGCATATATGAAAACAATGATCAATAAAAATCTTTTTATAAGAGACTAAGTGTTTTATTTGTTCAAAGTTAACAAAACGACAACATTGTAAGTTCAATTTATTCGATTTTCTACCACTTAGCTGATGTATGCCAACTCAACACCGTTCTGTACGATGTTGATAGAGACGTAAGCCACCATGACCCGGAAAAAACAGAATGTGACCAAAATCTCAACCCTGACTGGTATCGTTTCCTGGACATTCCAGGAATAACAATGCCGACTGAGTGTCCAGATCCTGACAAGTGCGGCACATCATTTCCAGGCTGGTTGAGCAGTAGTCACCCCCCAATGACTGAGGGAGAAGTAGCAGGGACTGTTTGCTTCAGCAGGAGCTCGGATATGTGCTGTCACCAGTCGAAAAACATAAGGGTGAAGAACTGTAGTTCCTTTTACGTCTACTATTTGGTGCCGACGAGCTGTCCCTACCGTTACTGCTTCACACATAACTGAACATCTTAAAACTGTTAAATATTTAAGAATATTGACAGCTTGTTGGGTTAAAACATATGCTCTTCTTGGGCGAGGTTTCAAGGCAACGAAGCCCAATACGAGAATATTTTTTAACCCAAAGCCGACAATATTTTATGGTATTGGTGTCTGAAAATCGCACTCAGTTGTTTTTATAGTGATCCATCCAGTAGAAGGATAAGTAAAACTACATACAAATTAGTAAGTGCATGATCAAAAATTCCATTCTCTCTTTCTTTAATATATATCCATGGGAACAGCATCTCGAAGATGAAGTGCTGTGGCGGGTATTTGGAAGATTTTGTAGCATTTTAAACCAATGAGCTCATCTGGAAGCGATAAAAACTTACCAAAATATTCTTCTGGTGAGCTTGAAGTCCGAAGACCTACCAAAGTATAATTATGTAGCATTCAGCTGAAATGTTTTCAGAATGCTGTTTAAAGAGTTATTTCACAATGTTGAGGCAGAGGAAGGCCAAATCGGTTGTACTAAGTTAAGGAGCGAATCTCACCTCGTCTGGTCCCAAAGAAATGATACTTCGGTGGTCGGAAATAAGGCTTGCATAATTTCTGAGGTGCTTTTTGTCGTGAACATAGAATAGAAAAAGCTATTTTCCTATGTAAACTCTCCTTTGGAATAATTCAAAGATTATTTAGCACCTGTTCTTCATTGATCCCTCTAGTTGTTGATAGTAACATTTTGACAGTTGAAAACCATCAAAAATCTACTTTTTTTTGGTACTTTTGTCTCCGTCTTGGTCCCCTATAATGGAAATGAGGAAATGCATTTTAACTTTAGCATGTAAAGCGTTAATTAAGCTATTTTTCGAAGACAAAGTACAACCTGAATGTTTATTTACATAATATGATAATGTTGAATTGCGCAATAACATTAAAAATTGCAATCACAATGTCTAACGTGCCTACATTTATTTCTTTGACAAAAACGGAATCCAGCGAACCTCTAAAAAAGGTGAAGCGAATCAAGGCAAAGCGATAGAAACGATAAAAGCGAAACAAAGTGGTAAAAAACGGCTTTGACATAATCATGCAGGGAAAAACGGTAGTCAGTAGCAAAAAAAACGGTAGTAGTCAGTAGCAAAAAACAGAAAAGTAGTTATAACATAAGGCAGCCACAATAGGAGGGAGAGAGAGAAGTCACAGTAAACAACGTAACGGTCAGTTTCCTTTCCCTATTTGCCGCGCCATGGTGTCGAGGCTGATTTCCAAAGCGAAGCTTGACAAAAATAAACACATAAGAAACACAAATGACCAAAAGACAAATTGAGATGAATGAACCCCAAGCGTAATAGTAACAGTCCAGTTTATGTCTATAGTAATAATTCATTATCAACGCACAAAAGAGTAGTGTTGTCAACCAGATGGCGATTATAAGAACCCAGTAGACTGACTTTTTGATCGTACGATGTCTGTTGCATTCAGGCGTTCTAGAGAAATAACGGTCACATTTGCTAACGAACAAACGAGAAACCAGAAGAGTAATAAACATGGTATCTGATACCAATGCTCTGTTTTGTGCTTCCAGAAGTTAAAAAAGTTTTTCAGTAAAAAAGTTGTGGTTGATAAGTCTTAATTTTATTTTACTTTTATTTTGTTTCATTTTTGAATTCCTGCTCGGAAAACGCCTCTCCATGCTTTTGTTCATTTTGTGGTGTCGCATGGAATTGACTGCTTATTACAGAAATATAACTTTTCGAATTTACAGGCTACTTTCTGTGCGAGACATGCGACATAGCCCTTTACCCTTCGACGACGCACCGCAATATATTTCATACAGACACGACATGCGTGAACGAATCAGATATGTCTTAGATCATTAAAATGAATGACAGCTCATTTGGTATGGTTCAGAGGTTCCCAGAGAGAGAATTATGTGAATTGAAATTTACGCCCATTGCTTGTTTTTATAATGATTCAACGCTTTTTATCATCTTTAGCCTTATCACCGACGCAATTTACGACTTTCTTCTTGGATTATGGACCCTTTTTTTTTTCTTTTTTTTTTTTTTCGTTAATAAAGTCGACTTTACATGCCGGTAAAGACTGTGAATAACCAAAATAATACATGGTCGCTGGTAGATTCGGAATTTCTTTTCTCGTGTTCAACTCGACGTCTCACGAGTGAGTGCAGCTAGCTTAGTGCGAACTCGTGAGACATCGAGTTGAACACGAGAAGAGAAATCCTATGTCTGCGTCCGCCATGTATTATTTACTATTTCTCTTGAAATAAACAAGGGAAGACTGACAATTTATTCAGATGGGATGCATAGTTGATGACTAGCGTTGAAAATAAAACGCGAACGCTTCAAAGATGTTCCTTTGTCTTTTAGCTTCTATTTCGCTTGTTTTGTTATCATTGTTATAGTTATTATTGTAATCATGATTAATTTCATAATGATCGATATCATAGTTCAGAATTGGTCCGCAGAGAAGTTCGTTTAAATTTCATGCTATTCGTATGCTGTTCGTTTTTGCTTTCCAGCAGATGCGCATCTCCATAAGTAACCGTAGGCTAAAAAATGTTTTTTTTTAAAGATTTTTTTACAAAGGCTAATAACAAGAAAAGCATATCAAAATAATTTTTTTACCAAACGGTTATCATCCATCGCCTTAAAGTCAAGCGAGTTTCGAAAACTGATACTCCATATCTGAAACTTTCTTCCATCCAAGGTATCTGCTGCACTCGCCAATTTACTCCGCTTGTTTAGCAGTTTTTCTTTTTCATTTCTGATATATTCCTGCCACAGGAGGCGTTTTTTATTCTTCCAAATGGTAAAAGTCTTGAATTAAATGTAAAAAATTAGGAGGGAAAATATTAAGAAGTCCATGAATGCTCTCCGTCTAAGTCTTGTTATTACCGAATTCTCGTTACACATTCTCATCAAACCACGTCGGAGTATAAAAAACATAATATAATAACAAGTATAGCATATCAAAGGGATTTAACAAAAAGCGGTTGTCATTTGCTGCCTTCGGTCATGGTATCATACAAACAGGTGTCGAATATCTGTAACTAATTCTCTTTGACACATATTTTACTTCGATCGCCCAAAGATATCAGCTGTAGCTGCCAATGCACTCCACTTTTTCAAGTAGTTTTCCTTTTTATTTTTTATATATTCATGCCACAAGAGGCTTTGATCTGCGTATAAAAGAATTGGACTTCCTTTAATCTTGAGAGAGGTCTTAATTTATTTTCATAATTCACACAGCCTCAGATGAACTGACCCATCTAAAGGTGCATTGGACAATCCAAAACTCACCTTACCGTCACTTCCCCTTAAAAAATTTAGGGTGAACTCCCTTTTGATTTAGAAAAATTGGAATAATTTAAGAGGAATTTGTTAAGAAAATAATATTCAAAGCACACCTTATCTCAAATAACTTTCTTAAAAGCATTGAAAAGAAAAAGAGAAAGAAAATAGTCTTCAAAGGGAATGAAAATAATCTTCAAAGCCTACCTTATCTCAAATAGCTCTCTTAAAAGCGTCCTCAGGTTCTTCATAATCTTCCGCCGATAAAACTCAGAATCGTGCAAGGCGTTTGCATGGCAAAATTGGCACTTTATGAGCTGCCGATTTGTGCCGATGTACTTTTGTTAAGAAAATAATCTTAGCTTCAAAGCCTACCTTGTCTCAACTAACTTTTTTAAAAACGACCTCAGGTTCTTTATAATCTTCGGGCGACAAAACTCAGAATCGAACATGGCGTTTGCATGGCAAAATTGGCCCTTTTGGAAGATGTGCGCATCTGTTCAATAAGGAAAAAGCCGATGGTTATCTGAATAATGATCTTTCTTCATACGTATGAAACTGACGGGTTTTTATTCTTTGTTTCTTAATAAATGATATATAGGGTGGCCCGCAACTGTCACGGAAAAAGTAATAACTTTGCAGCAAAAGAAAAAGACTCACGGCAAAAGGAAGAACCTCACGGCCAAAAAAAAAAAAAATAAAATAATACTAATAATAAAAAATAAATAAAAAAAGACTCACGGCGAAAGTAAAAACCTCACGGCAAAAAGAAAAGGACTCACGGAAAACGAAAAAGCCTCATTGCAAAAAAAAAAAAAAAAAAAAAAAAAAAAAAAAAAAAAAAAAACTGACGTAGGCGCATAGCAGCGGTTCCTCACATCAAACTAAAATTTACAGAACATGCACAATAAAATGCCTCTCTGCTCCGTAAGGTTATTTCTTTTACAGTGAGTCTTTTACTTTTGACCTGAGATTATTCTTTTTGCCGTGAAGTTTTTTTTTCTTTTGCCGTGAGTCTTTTTCTTTCTGCCGTGAGGTTTTTTCGTTTTGCCGTGGGTCTTTTTTCTTTTGCCGTAAGTTTTTTAAAATTTTATTTTGCCGTAAGTTTTTTTTTTTATTTTGCCGTTCGTTTCCCATTCAAAATTCCCCTTTCCTCGTACTCTATTCTTCGTTACCTTTTAACTGTTCCCCGTTCCTTGTCTCCAGTTCCCTGTTCACTACTTCACGTTTTCTGTTCCACGTCCTCTGTTCTTCGTTCCCTGTTCCCCGTTCCTCGGTCCCTATTCACCGTTTATTGTTCTTTATTTTCCTTTACGCTGTTCTCTGTTCACCATTCTCTTTTTCTATCTTCTCCATTCCCTGTTCCCTCTTCTCTGTTCACCGTTCTCTATTTTCTCTTGCCCGTTCCATGTTGCCTGTTCTCTATTTCCCTTTTGCTATTTTCTCTTCCCCGTTTTCTGTTCCCTGTTCTCTATTTCCCGTTCTCTATTTTCTCTTCCCGGTTCTCTGTTCACCGTACCCAGTCCACCGATCCTTATTCCCTCATTTCATTATTCCCAAAGGTTAAAGGAAATATAGCGTGACAAACAGATAGGCAAACTTCTCCCTCTTCTATGGGCGTAGGACTTCATTGCTGGACTTTTGCTGTTTTATCGCACCACGCTCGACATTCGCATCCCTTCGTGCGAGAAAATGAGGCCGGTTTCTCATTAATTCTTCGACTTTTATTGATGTCAGTTTATTCCTAATACAAATCTTCCCTTTTCCTATCTTTTTTTTTTTAATTTCATACATGCATCAGTGTTAATTATCTTTCAATTATGCAATTATGCTGAGAATATCAGTCTTAACCATAAAAATTACAATTTCCTCGATTGTGAATGGTTTGAAAAACTCACATTTTCCGTTAGTTCACTTGCTCAAGTTGTTATCGGACAGTTTGTTATAGGACAGTTCAATAAGCAAATTACATTCAGAATTTTAGTTTTCATGAATCAATCACATTCAAAGTTGTAACTTAAATCAACCAATCACAGCCTCGGTTTCGATCACCATAGAAACACTAATTCCTTTGTCAGTCTTTTAATGCAAATTTTCTCTTTCTTTAATAACTTGGGTATACTTCTCTTCTCACAAATTGTATTTTTTTATAATTAATTGGCAATGAGACTTCGTGGAGTCCAATTCGATCTGTAATCATACTCCTGATGACAAAGTATGATTAAAGACCGAATTGGATTCCACTCAGTCCTATTACTATTACTAATTAAGTTAAATAAGTAAGTAACTCAGCTAATCACATCCTTTTTTCTGATTTTGCGTATATTCAAATTGATAAAGAGCGGTCATCTAGCTCATCTACAAATCCTTTCGCTGTTAACCCTTTGAACTCTAAGATTGACTTACATCTAATTTCTCCTTACAGTATCACCCCTGAATAAAACAAAAAGGTCACGAGAATAAAGGAAATGATCATCAACTTAAGAACCCTTGATTGTTTAACAAATTCTCGTAATCATATCACTGGAAATATTAGAAGAACAGTATGGAGGAATTGCATATTACCTTTAGGATGTAAAGCGTTAAGCTATTTTGTAAAGACAAGCTACTACCTGAATGTTTATTTACATAATATGATAATGCTGAATTGCACAATATGATTAAAATTGAAATCACAATTTCTAATGTGCTTATATTTACTTCTTTGACCAACAAACGGAATCCAGCGAAACTCTACAAAACGTGAAGCGAATCAAGGCAAAGCGATAGAAACGATCAAAGTGAAACAAAGTAGCAAAAAACGGCGTTCACATAATCACGCAGGAAAAAGCGTGAACTCATCTTAAACACACGTAAACTAAACCTAAACTGACGCACAACTAGATCTACATGAAATCTTTCACATGAAACGTACAAAGGATCCACGTTTAATAATAAATGATCTGATAAATTCAGTTTTCCTACTCTTTTCCTTTCCTTTTTTAATTTTCTTTATTTAATGCGGAGGTTGGAGAGTTTAGAGGACTTCTATTAAAAACTACTTTCACAGAACCTTTTCGAGATTTTATTTCTCCCACACTAGTTAAATTCAAATTTGTGGGTTCATCTCACGGAGGGAAATGATCTGAACCTGTCTATGTGGCTGAGGTCGTTGGCAACATAATATCTTTAAAGCTCGCCTAAAACCTGGCATCCTCATAGCATACAATATCGGATTTAAAAAACAGTTTGCGTAAAGCAAGACGATCGAACCACCTACTAAACGGAAAATCCCTATTTCAGATAATGACCTTAAAATATCAGTGGCAAAAAACAGAGAAATAGTTATAACATAAGGCAGCCACAATAGGAGAGAGAGAGAAGTCACGGTTAACAACGTCACGGTCAGTTTCCTTTCCCTATTTGCTGCGCCATGGTGACGAGGCTGATTTCCAAAGCGAAGCTTGACGAAAATAAAAACGTAAGAAACACAAATGACCAAAAGACAAATTGAGATGAATGAACCCCAAGCGTAGTAATAATGGTCCCGTTTATATGTATAGTAAAAAATCATTATTAACGCACATGAAAAGAGGAGTGCGGTTAACCAGATGGCGATGATAAGAACCCAGTAGACTGTTGTTTTGATCGTACGATGTCTGAAGGGCCAAAACATTGCATTCAGGCGTTCTAAAGAAATAACAGTCATATTTGTCAACGAACAAACAGGAAACCAGAGGATGAACACCTGAGGTATATACCAATACGCTCTATCGGGCCCCCAGAAGTTACATGTCTCTCCAACATGATAGAATAGATCGTGTGCAGAAATTCCCCCGGATAACATGTCTGCGACTGCCAAGCTTATCACCAAGTATGTGGATCGTTTACGAAGATTACGGTCTCTACAAAATGCAATCACTGTCAACGAATTCAGCACTACTATGGTGACAGACTCAGTCAGGCCCACAACCATCCAGATTATACACTCCGGTGAAGAAGCCATCCGAGTAGTCTTTTCCTGTTACAAATAATTGAGAAATATTAGGGTTTTCCGGCAATAATTTGACAACAGAATACTGAGAAAGAGACTGACGTAACCTCCACATTTAATTTTGGTATCTCTTGAGGCAACAAAGTTTACCCATGGTCTTACATCCCTCCTTCGCTACGTTTTGGTAAATGTTAGCTACGTCCTTTTAAAAAAACCCCTCTCCGATATGAAGACGACCTCTGTTTCCTTACAGGTCGTGCAGGGCAACTAGTCCCTATAGCTGCTTAAGACAGCCTTTAAACTCCTTTAGGCTGTTTCAAAGAGATTTTGAACACTTTTTACGAGTCACGAATTAGTGAATGTTGAACTCGTAACTTTCCGTTCGCGAAGGCTCATCATTGCAAAAGAAAACTAACATTCTGAATTAAATTTCACCTATTCCACACTCATATTGAAATAATCATTTTTCGGTAAAAAATTTTAGTTGATGGGTTTTTATTTTTAAAATTTTTTTTTGTTATTTTCTGTTGTTCTATTTTTCAATTCCTGCTCGAGAAACGCAATATACTTTATACAAACATGACTGCGTGAACCAATCAGATATGTCTTAGATCATTTAGATGAATGACAGCTCATTTAGTATGGTTCGAAGGTTCCGAGAGAAAGAATTGTGTGAATTGAAATTTACGCCCATTGCTTGTTATTGTAATGATTGAACGCTTTTTCTCGTCTTGAGAGTTATCGCCAACGCAATTTACGACTTTCTTCTTGGATCCTATTTTTTTTTTTTTTGATTCGTTAATAAAGTCGACTTAACCTGCCAGTAAAACTATGAAAAAACAAAATAATCCATGGTCCTTGTAGATTCGGAATTTCTCCTCTAGTGTTCAACTCGACGTCTCACGAGTGAGCGCAGCGAGCTTAGCGCGAACTCGTGAGACATCGAGCGGAAGACTCGAAGAGAAATTCTATGTATGCTCCCCCCATGTATTATTCACCAATTATCTTGAATTCACAAGTGAAGACTAAATATTTATTCAGACGGGATGCATAATTGATTACTGGCGTTTGAAATAAAACATCAACACTTCAAAGATGTTCCTTTGTCTTTTTTTTCTATTTCGCATGTTTTGTTATCACTATTATGGTTATTTAATAATGAATACTAGTTCCATAATGAACGATATTATGATCATCATGACTGTTATTCTTGTAATTATGCTATCATTTCTATCTTAGTTCATAATTGGTCCGCAGAAAAGTTCAAATAATTTGTTTTTCCTCTTCACCTGGATTTGCGTATATTAGCGCCACTTTATTTTGCATTTTTCATTTATTGATTAGTGTTCTTAGCCAGATGGGGATGATGTTGATTTCCGTAACTAATAACCTTGAGGCTGGCAATGGATTGTGGGCTTCCTTCAACTCTCCTTCGTTTTTATTATTCCTATTTGAATGTTCAGCACTAGTGTATTTCTTTTATTTGTGCCTTTAATTTTTGTTTTTGTTTTGTTCTCCTTTCTGATTTTTGTTTTTGGAAAGATGTATTTAATGTAGACTTTTATCATTTTCCCCTTTCTCTTTTACCAATTGCGAGTAAATGATAAAACTGAAATAGAAAGAAAAAATAGGCTGTTCATTTTTGCTTTTCAACGGATGCGCATCTCCATAGGTGAACGTAGGCGTAAAAAAAAAAGGTTTTTTTCTTTTTAATTTTTTACCAAGGTTAATAACAAGAAAAGCATATCAAACGAATCTTTTGCAAAACGGTTATCATTCATCGACTTAAAGATGTGTGCTGCACTCGCCAATTTACTCCCCTTCTTTAGAAGTTTTTTCTTTTTCATTTCTGATATATTCCTGCCACGGAAGACGTTTTTTTTATTCTTTCAAATTATAAAATTCTTGAATTATATTCAAAAAAATAAGGAGGGAAAATGTTAGGGAGTCCATGAATGCTCTCCGAATAAGTCTTGTTATTACCGAATTCTCGTGACACATTCTCATCGGAGCATGTGGGAGTGTGAAAAAGATGTATTCTAAAAAACATGAACCAATGACAAGTACAGAATAACAAACAAATTTGACACAAAACGGTTATCATTTGTTGCCTTCAGTCATGGTATCATACAAACAAGTATCGAATATCTGAACCCATTTCTCTCTGACACACATTTTACTTCAATCACCCGAAGACATCAGCTGTAGCTGCCAATTCATTCCGCTTTTTCAAGTAGTTTTCCTTTTCATTTTTGATATATTCATGCCGCAGAAGGCTTTGATCTGCGCATAAAAAAAATTGGATATCCTTCAATCTTAAGTGAGGTTTGAAGTTATTTTCATAATTCAAACAGCCTCAGATGAATCGAACCGAAAGGTGTATTGAACAACCCTCCCCTATCAGACACTCACTTTACCGTCACTTCCCCTTAAAATTTAGGGTGAGCTCCCTTTTAATTTAGAAACATTGAAATAATCTAAGAGGAATTTGTTAAGAAAATAATCTTCAAAGCATACCTCAATATCTCATACCCTATATCTCAAATAACTTTCTTAAAAGCGTCCTCAGGTTCTTTATAATCTTCTGCCGATGAAACTCAGAATCGTGCCAGGCGTCTGTATGGCAAAATTGGCACTTTATGAGCTGTGCGCAGCTGTTTAATAAGGAAAAAGTCGATCTCGAGCTGAATAATGATTAATATTTAAGAATGGCTGCCTGTCAGGATCGAGAATCGTCCGTCAACGACCATTTTGGTGAATTGCTCATATTTTGCTCAAAGATACCCTTTTATAAACTATTTTCAAAAATCATGTTTTTAAGTTTCAGCGATTCTTAAATTTTCATAAATTTGCCAAAATCTGAAAACGCGGTTTTCAGGCTTCCGGAGCTCAAGCTCCGCATGACGCACAGTCAAAAATTAACTGCAAAAACCAAGCCCCGTTTAAGGATTAAAATGTAATCAATCAACACCAAACTTCACACGATATTAGGACAGCTATTCTTATTCAATTCTAGTGAATAAAATCTTTTAGGGCACATCGATTTTGGGATTATTTTAGCCCTTGAAAGAACATCCTCACAGACCGAGTAAAATGGCGGCGAAAAACGGGTGATATTTCACGCGAAAAAAATGTACCTGGTACCACATATTTTGGATTTTCAACAACATATTCGTGAAATATTGCTATTTTCCATTCACTGCGAAAAGTGTGATGTCCGGAATCGCATTGCTTCCCTTCGAAAATGGCAGAAATGTTCGTGACTTTGAGCGAGAAAAATGATGCAAAGTGTGTAAACAAACAATAAGGTAATTTAATCATACTGAGTTGTTAAATCTCCAAATTAAATCCGGTCTCCGCTGTGTCGGCTTGTAGCTTGGAAAATGTAAAGACAAGTAAACTATTCCGTAAGATATTTGAAAAGGTTCTACAAAATATTTTTGGGCTAAAAATCTGCAAGTGAAGTACATATTACATTAGCACCATCTCATATTCAAGTAATGCAAAAGATACATTCGAGAGAAGCTACTTAGTAGATTAGTATTTGATTCCATGCTGATAAATAAGATATTCTTTTATCTTTTACTTTGGGAACTCATTTTCTGTAGGTGTAAATACATCGAAAGGCGACTTTTGACCTTCAAAGTAATTAGATGCAAGACGACAGTTCTTCTTATCCTTGTAATTATCAATGTCACGCAACGTAACGCCATTGAAAATCGGGGGTGCTGAAACATACCCGCGTAAAAACCGCAAATGAAATAATGATAATATAAATTAGAGAGAGAAATCCCGCACTTCAAAATGAGCGGAAAGAAATGTAGGTTGAATACTCTCACGTCCGTCAGTTTGCATGTGTCGGCTACCAGATGAGTAAACTTCATTACCGATATGAAGACCATAAAAGGAAAGTGAGGGTCAACATTGGCATAATTAAAAGAAAAACAGAACAAAACGGTAGAACTTCTAATTACTTTACGTGCTTTTATAAAAATGAGATAACTAGTAACTGACGAATAGGAACGAGTCACCGTTAATTCGTTTCTTCCTCACTTTTCTATTCTGCTAAACTAAAGAGAAAGTCAGCATCACAATGACTTTTGGCAAGTACATTTGCTGACAATCTCTTTCAGTAGAGCCAAGTAAGGGGACTTTTTACGCATGGGCTTTGATGGAATATCGAGGCCAAGGTCTTCACACATGTACTGCAACATGGGTAGCTTCAAGATCTTCAAAGAGTCATTTAGCGCCATTTCACAAAGATCGTACAGACCGTAGATCAAGGGATGGTCAAGTTGTATTGACGCGACAGTCTCCTTTGCCTCGCTAAAATTACTCTCCTCTTGAGTTGCTCGGATATCAGCCTCGTCAGGATCTCTCTGGCGTACTAAGGCACTCTGTCTTGAGAAGAAAGAGGTGATCTGGGTGGTTGTGAGGAATTCCGATGACTGGATTAGTCGTGCACCATCGGTGCCCCGGGCACGCCGCATTTCTCGAGCAATTACCTCTGTGTCAAGCTTGTGGCCTGTCGTCTGCCCTATTCGAAATTTAGATAAAAGGTACGACTTTTGCTTTTCACTGAATCTGTAAGCCTTCCTCACTACTCTAAGAGACTAGCCTTCTTTCAAAGAAACACGAGAATCTTCCCGTCACACAGGGGCTTGAAGAGATGGCAGCTTTCCCACACCTTCCTCCAAATATGATTTGTAGGCAATTTTTGCCAAGTCCATTAGAGAATGTTTTTCTGGTACCCTGCTACATTTTTCGAGTGACAAGTGCTTTTCTAAGGCTGAAAGCCTTTGAAAAACATGAGTGCAGCCCTCTTGAGGACATGAATACACCCCTGCTGCCTGGCCACGTTATATGGAAGCTATCTCTTCAGCCACATTTTCTTCCCTGACGATTTGTGGGGGGTACTTTTAAAGAACGGAAATCTCTTGCAGAAAATGATGGTCGCAGAATCCCTTGTCCAGGACCTTCAAAAGTAATAAGAGAAATATAAATATGACAGCCATACAGCTAAGAAATAATTATCTTGCATCAACGCGTAACCCTTAAAGGCAGCCCACGACAGAATACCATGTTAGAGAAGCACTAGGTACTGTTGCGGGACATACAGAAAACAAACAAATGTGGGACAGGAATTAGCCTACCAAAGTGCGGCATAGCACCCCTCCCCTTCCCCACCCCTCAAATAAAAAAAAAAGGAAAAAAAGCGGTGTGTTTTACTGGTCAACGAAGGAGCCTTGTCCCAGATTAACAACTGTCTTTGTCTGAAGGGCTTTTTCACGTGTTTTTTCTTCCTCGATTTTTTTCCCAATTTCTATGCTCTTATAAAAATGACTCTTTTCCTTTTAAAAACCAAGAGAGATTGAGATCATCAATTCATATTTGAAGCTTACCATTGTCTATTGTTCAGGTATCTGCACCAAATCAATTACTATTCCTAGGTATAAAGTAATCAATCAGTCATCAATCAATGGATAATCAGCTACTCAGACGAGAAAAAAACGTTGGCAATATAAATTGCAAAGTTTCCTCACTGATATAAAATTTGTTAGCTTGAGAAAGTTGAAACTTATAGTGTTTTTTTTGTGTAAGGTATTACAAATAAACGTGAGAAAAAACAATTTTATGAGAACATTTATCAACAGAAGCAATTCAAATTACGCGACCCCGAACTGGAACTAAGGTGTAGGAGTTACAAAAAATATACATCGATTTTCGGCTATCCACACGGTTGCTTCCTTTGGCACTCGAGGACTTATGTTGCTAGATCCTTGGGAATTGCACAAATGGTTTTCCTAGTCCTCCAACGTATGCCAAAATCTGCCCTATGGCGTGGGCAAATAGTCAGGGTAAGATGTTTTTGCTCAAATGAGAAAACACCTGTAAAAAAATATAAAACAACTTAAATCTGTTGCAGGACTCATTCATAAGCACAGTAAAGTTACCTGGAAACACACAAAATCAATATTTACCGGCTTTGGCTAATAGCAGCTTTATTTCAGTTCTAGAACCTTCATCTGCACTCAGTCCAAGAGTCGATAGATGTCCAGTTACATCTTTCGTGCAATCCTCGAGTGTAATGCATTCCACCTGACCAGGATAATCAGGAGATCGCCCGCAAGGGGTCACCTTACCAACTAGCGTTATATAGCTACAGAGAGCCATGAAATGACAAGAAATAATAACTTCTGATGAGAGCACGTATGAAAGCTCAAGACTCGTCCGTGAAATAACTTTCCTTAGATCTGTTACGAAATTTAGACCATTTACGCAAGAACTTCGTGGGCAGTGATGACGTGCAGGCCTCACCACGAGTGAAAATTGTGATTGAATGGTGCGAAATGTTGGAAGCTCAATGAAAGTAAATCAGAGATTGAAGTATAAAAGTGTTACCGTGTAGTTATCAGACCTTGAGTGAAGCTTTTGTTTTTAGTCTTTGGTATATTTCATGATGACAGCCCATTTAGGGTCTCATGTGGTGCGGCCAGTGTTTGTTGGGACCGGATGTCGGTTAATTAGGAACAATTCGCCTTAATACACTGGACTACTCGTAAAGAATGCTGTTCTCCTTCTGTATTCGCTGGAATTCTTGATTTATATATATACATATATATCTAAAACAAACTAAAACAAAGCCCTTGCAGCTGAAATGTTTAAAAGTTATTCAACAGACTGATCAAGAGATTGTCACATACAATTTTCTTAATCGTAATACATATAATGGTGATTGATGAAATGACTGTAAGAACATTTTCGACGGTGATTTTATTTTCTCTCAGCTCTCACACGACTCCGAATGTACGACTTCCCTATTACTCAATATTTTGAAGAATACTAGCCAAAAATTTCCAAAATTAAAGTTTATTTTAAAACCTTTTTCCACCAGGGAAGGAATGATTAGATTGGCGTTTGTTTACACAACACACATCATCTCGCTCACTCTGGACACAAACATTTGCGGTATTTTCGAAGGGAAGCGGTCCGATTCAAAGCATCAAATTTTACTCAGGAAATAAATAATATCATTATATTACGAATATCAAGTTAAAAAGTTAAAAAGTGAGGTACCAGGTACACTTTTATCGCGTTAAATTTCACCTATTTTTTGCCTCCATATTAAGCGCTCTTTAAGGGTGTTGCTTAGAGGACTTAAAAATTCTCAGTATCAATGTGTACAGAAAAATTAACATAACGAATATGAATGGGAAGGCTTTTTATTATATCGTGTGAAGTTTGGTGTTAATTGAATTCATTTTAAGCCTTCAACGGAGCTTGGTTTTTAAAGTGAATTTTGGACAATTTGATAGGCGGAAAACCGCACTTAAACCGCGTTTTCAAATTTTCGCCAATTTCTAAAAATTTAATAATCGTCGGAACTTTTAAACTTGATTTTTGAAAATAGTTTACCAAAGGGTATCGTTGGGCAAAATATGAGCAATTCACCAAAATGGTCGTTGACGGACGATTCTCGATCCTGACAGGCAGCCATTCTTAATAATTCCTGTCTCTAACATACCTCTCGATCGATTAGGCAATAGCGCCGTTAAAAATGTGTCGAACCCATTCAGTTCGGTGACAGATAGGTTACACTTTAGTGATTTCCTCTAATTTTCCATAGAAAGGAGCAATAAAGAAACTCTGAGGAACTTTGCATGATTCTGCCAACATCTTTTAGGAAACAGATAAGGATGTTTTTCGTCTTGTCGCGAGCGTTGGACAAAAATAATAATAATAATAATAATTCTGAATCCACGTTTACCGACTCAAAACTGACTGTCTTTCTACCTCTATTTAATCTATTTGTAATTCTAGTTTTTCTGTTTTCGTTACTGGTAAAAGTTGCATTAAACAATTTCATAATTATAAATGTGTTTTTCAGTATAGACTAGTTGTCGTTTTAATGTTTTCTTGGTACTAAATTAAGACGTGGTAGCTTCAAGCGTTTTTTCAATAAATTAAAAATAACGTTCAACTGTCTTGCAATGCACACGAAATTCTGGAATCCACTTCTCTAATGTACTTTAGGAGACATGAAAAAACTTTGCAATTACTTAAGAAACACAAAATAGGAACAATAACCAAAAAACGACTGAGGGTGATTGAGGACACCACGTGACTTGACTGAAGTGACCGAACCTCTTACCTTTCCAAAGAGCCGATTTGTGCCGATGTACTTTGTTAAGAAAATAATCTTCAAAGAATTCTTTACCTCAACTAACTTTCTTAAAAGCATCGTCAGATTCTTTATAATCTTCCAGCGATAAAACTCAGAATCGAACATGGCGTTGGCGTGGCAAAATTGGCATTTTGGAAGCTGTGCGCAACTATTCAAGAAGGAAAAAGTCGATCGTTATATGAATAATAATCTTTCTTCATACGTATGAAACTGACGGTTTTTCTTTCTTGCTAAATAATATATAGGGTGGCCCACAACTGTCACAGCAAAAGAAATAACTTCGCGGCAAAAGAATTAACCTCGCGATATTTTTCAATTCCTGCTCGGAAAACGCCTTTCCATGCTTTTGTTCATTTTGTCGTGTCGCATGGAATTGACTGCTTATTACAGAAATAGAACTTTGTCGAATTCACAGGCTACTTTCCACTCTTTCTCAGAAAGATACGTGACCTGCCACATAGCCGGTCACCCTTCAACGACGCACCGCAATATATTTCCTACTAACATGACATGCATGAACCAATCAGATATGTCTTAGATCATTTAGATGAATGACAGCTCATTTAATTTGGTATGGTTCAAAGGTTCCCAGGGAGAGAATTATGTGAATTGAAATTTACGCCCACTGCTTGTTTTGTAATGATTGAACACTTTTTTCTCATCTCTAGCCTTATCGCCAACGGAATTTATGAATTTTTCTCTTGGATGGAGGATACTATTTTTCTTCATTCGTCATTAAAGTCGACTGTAATTTCCGGTAAAGACCTATTGCGTTTAGATGATAAACAAAATGATGATGGTCGCTGGTAGATTCGGAATTCCTCCGTACCATACGTTTCGTATCAATGTTGATTCGCGTCAGAAGAAGCAAAGATTTATTGTAACAATTTCAATAGTTCGAATGCAGTAGTTTGTTCACATCTAATTCTTGCGTATACTGTACGACTCGCTATACTAAATGCGGTAGAATTGGAACAAAATGGCTGGGGCTTTTTTCACCTTTATTGAGGAATGTTGTGTTGTGATTGAAAAGAACATCGACAAAAAGCCTGCAAATAGAATTAGTTACCAAATAGGATACAAAGGATGCTTAAAAGGAAAGTTTGGTAGGGGGGCTCCATATCCGTTAGCAGATTTGGACGGGAGGTCCAGATCCGCGGGGGGTCCAAATCAGCTGTGACACCGGGGCAACGTATCGAGTCATTTGAAATACTACCAGCTATCCTTGGAAATCCTTGATTACAAGGCAATTTTGAGCGCGATATGGAAAAAAAATATAACAGTTATTGGTATGTTCTAAACATCCGAACACTTCAGGAAACACTGGAAATGCGGTGGAGGTACTTGTTAACAGCCACAGCACAAGGGAAACGGCGCGGCAGTAAAAGAAAGCCAGACTGACTGGAGATGTTTTCGAAGTTTTCGGAATTACAGTTGTAGTCGGGTAACATGAAAGAAGTTAATACCTTCCAGCTAAATTTTAATGAGTTCAGTAACAAGCTGGTGGCAGCTTTTACGACAAATGGCGTTGAAAACTCAATCTCCTTTCACTGCCTCGCATTCTTCTTTTTGCTCTAGATGCTAAAAAAATACTTTTACTACATTTCCAGTGTCCTCTCAGGTGTTCTGATGTTTAGAACATACCATTAACTGTTTTATTTTTTCCAAATGAGGACTGAAATACCCGAAGCCACTCCAATCTTTGCTTTCCATGAATCAAGCAAACATTTTAAAAGATAAAATTCTCATTAAAATGTAAAATTCTTCAGTCCATTTTAATAGCTTTCGACTCTAATTCGTTACATTAGCTAATTTTGGTTCCAACTTGTAGAACCTGCGATACAGGTCATATGACAAAGAGAAAAGTTTGCACAATCACGTCACGCAATACATCAAGCTGGGTTTGTCCAGTTGATTTTAATGGTCGCATGGAAATGTTGAGTTTGTCGCTCAAAACCGTTGTGGTCCATAAGAGCGTAACATCATTAATGACGGAAACAAATTTGCAGAAAGGAGGGTATAGTTCATCGGGTTCCGTATACTAAATCTTGGGAGAAACTGCAAGAATTATTTCAGTATGCGTGTTGTTTTGTAAATATAAACACTGTAACCTATTTTAACTTGTTTTTGTGTCCTTTTAAGCAACGCGATATGTCTGTTGTGAATTTTTGATATGCAAATAAAGGTCGAATAGAAGGGTCTCCTCTGATCACGCTGGTATGAAAAATATTTCAGCTGAAGTTTCCATATTTTGTCTGCGAACTAACTGAATACATCTTGTAACTTGTAGAAAGATATAATTCCGTGAGCTACATTGTTGTAGTCGCTGCGCGCTGGACAAGATCTTTGAAATTTACACTTTCGATCGCTGTTCACAGGGGTGGTCTGGCCAAAAACCATTTTTGGCTTGTGGCAACACAAAAAAAGAGAATTGGAGAACAACTAAACTATTTTTGAAACATGTGTCCTGAAGCCTTATCATGGGCAGAATATAAGGGAAAAATGTTTTCCGACGGGAAGTCGAGAGGACCGCTCTTAACGAGAGCGGCACTTGATTTTTTTTATTTTGTTCCATTTTTCAGTTCCAGCCCGGAAAACACCTTTCAATGTTTTTGTTCGTTTTGTCGTGTCGCGTGGAATTGACCGCTTAATAAAGAAATAAAACTTTTTCGAATTCACAGGCTACTCTCTGGGCGAGATATGCAACAAAGCCTTTTATCTTTCGACGAAGCGTCGCAATATACTTCCTACAAACAAGACATGCGTGAACCAATCAGATATGTCTTAGATCATTTATATGAAAGACAGCTCGTTTGGTATGGTTTAAAGGTTCCCAGAGAGAGACTTATGTGAACTGAAATTTACGGCCATTGCTTGTTTTTGAGATGTTTCAACGCTCTTCAACAGCCTCAGATAAATCGACCCGATTTAAGTGTATGGGACAAACCTCCTTTCCAGAAACTCACCTTACCGTCAGCTTTCATTATAATATAGGGAGAACTCCGTTTTAGAAACATTGAAAATGGTTAAGCGAGGTTGTCAGTAATTTTCAAGAATACGACGACAGAAGAAAAATTCAACTCATTCTTTTATTTGCTCCAAAAGACCCTTTTGGTGAGCCGTTTTCAAAAATAATATTTAAAAGTTCCAGCGAGTTTTTATTTTGGCAAAAAATACGAAAGTTCGAAATCGGCCAAAACGTACCTAGTTTGCATAATTTCTATCAAGCTTTCAGTGCATTTTCACAACGCTCGCACAAGACAAAAAAAATTACCTTGAATTCATTTTTTCATGAGTTGTTTTTCATCCCTTGGAGTAGCTTTACAACTATCTTTCATCTCCAACTGAACTTTCTTTCGTTTGTAACCACTCTCTGTAAAGTACACCGTAGTTACTATTCCGTTTGTACGCTGAGTTTTGCTATGTTTCAGACGACCATAACATCGGAGCAAATAAAATATAAAAAGTTGACTTTTTGCTTCTGTCGCTGGATTCTTGAAAAGTACTAACAACCTCTCTCTTAAGAGCAATTTGTTAAGAAAATAATCTTCAAAACCTACCTTATTTCCAATAACTTTCGTGAAAGCCTCCTTAGGTTCTTTACAATCTTCCGCCGATGAAACTTAGACTCGTACAAGGCATTTGCATGGCAAAATTGGCATGGACTGTGTGCAGCTGTTTACTAAGGAAATAGTCGATCGCGAGTTGAATAATGATTAAGAGTCAAGACTTCCTGTCTCTAACGTACCTTCCGATGGGTTAGGCAATAGCAATAGGCAATTAAAATTTGTCGAACCCATTCAATTAGGTGACAGATAGGGTACATTATGGTGATTTTCTGCAGTTTTCCATAGAAAGGAGTAATAAAGACACTCTTGAGAATTTTTCATGATTCTGTCAACTGACTTTAGGAAACAGTTTAATTTCAGAGAAAAATGCTTTTCGTCTTGTCAAGAGCGTGACGTGACAAGACATGAGTCATGTATGACACACGGCCATTCATACTGCTTGGATCAGCGATGTCGATAGCGTCATGTTTGTTAATAGAATAAAAAAGATGGTAAGCCTTGGGCTCGGTAAAGAAATAGAGAAAGATGTCATATACGAATTTCGTAATGGGTCGCGCTCATTATAGAGTCTCTGTGGCTCTGTGGTAGAGCATCGGAGCGTGGAATCCAAAGGTCTGAGGTTCGATTCCTCATGGGGACTTAGACAAATTTTTGTTCGTCCAACGCTCGCGACAAGACGAAAAACATCGTTCTCCATTTCTTTACCGACTCAAAACCTACCATCTTTCTTATTCTATTTAATTTATGTTCTATCGTTGTACTTTTATTAAGAAACTAACCTTATCTCCAGTAACTTTCCTAGAAGCGTCCTCAGGTTTTTTTTTAATCTTCCAGTGATAAAACTTAGAATCGAACAAGGCGTTTACATGACACAATTGGTATTTTAGGAGTTGTGCGCAGCTGTTCAAAAAGGAAAGAGTCGATCGTGAGCTGAATAATAATCTCTTTTCATATGAAGCATTGTTATTATTTGTTTCTCAATAAACGATATGTGATAAGAAAAGCCGGGGCAATAAGTCTGAGTCACGCGAAGACTAAAGGTTGACAGTCGCCTGCGGCCAGGGACCAGAATGGTGTGGAGAATTCCTGTCTCTAACATACCGTCCGATCAGTTGGGCAATAGCGTGGTTTAATATGTGTCTAACTCATTCAACCAGGTGAAAGTTATGTTACACTGGGGTGATTTCCTATAGTTTTCCATAGAAAGGAGCAATAAAGACGCTCTTAAGATTCCGTCTACTGCTTTTAGGATTTAATCTAATTTCAGTTTTTCTGTTTTCATTACCGGTAAAATTTGCAAGTTAAAAAGGTTAAAATTAGAAATTTGTTTTTTAGTATAAACAAGTTGTCTCGTCAATAGTTTTTGTGGTTTTAATTTAAGACACGGTAACTTCAGGCGTTTTCTGCAATAATGAACAAGAACATCCAAATGTCTTAGACCACACACGTAAATTCTGGGATCCACTTCTCTAATGCACTTTAGATTACACTAATTTAGCATACACTAATTTCAGTTTTTCTGTTTTCATTACCGGTAAAATTTGCAAGTTAAGCAGGTTAAAATTAGAAATTTGTTTTTTAGTATAAATAAGTTGTCTTGTCAATAGTTTTTTGTGGTTTTAATTTAAGACACGGTAACTTCAGGCGTTTTCTGCAATAATGAACAAGAACATCCAAATGTCTTGGACCGCACACGTAAATTCTGGGATCCACTTCTCTAATGCACTTTAGAAGACTTAACAAACTTTGCAAAAAATATTAAATAAATAAAGAAAAAGGGAGAAAAAAGAGAGTGAGAAGAAACACAAAATAAGAACAGAAATAAAAAAAAAAAAGTGATTTGAGGTGACTGAGGACACCACGTTACTTAACTAAAGTGTCCGAGCCTCTCACCTCTCCGACGACCCGATTTCTGCCGATGTACTTTCGGTGCCAGGCTCTGGCTCTCCTTTCTCCGTTTCACATTCTACGTTCCCCGTTCTTTATTTTCCGTTCCCCATTCCCCGTTCCCTATCCACCATTTCCTGTCCACCGTTCCCTATCATTGTCGCCTCATAATGCTTTCAGTGACATTCCACACGCAGCTAAGACTCACGACTAGCAAAGCGGTCTGCAAACTGGGAAGCAAAACGTGGCAAGTGGCGGAACACAACAATCGTTGCAAACAGGGAAAAATTATTATCTTTTTGCGCCGCGGAGAAGTGCGGAGTTGAGAGACTCATCGCTACTTAGCGCTTGAATTGAAAAATAAATAAATAAATGAAAAATAAAAAAGACCTCGTTAATCATCCAAACAACTTCAAAGCAAATCAAAACTACCACAGTTGGTGGATTTCTTTGACAAAATATTATGGTTTTCATCGATGACCCTAAATGCATCTCTCACTGTACAAGCCTGAATGCAGCTTAAACTTTAAAAAGAAAACTTCGTAATGCAGCGCTTTCACAGGATGTAAGTCAACCGCGGGGATCACGTTTCGCGTGATCTGCCGCAAGTTTTAGTTCGTGCAATTTATGGTCTTTGAAAAAAATTCAAGTGCTTATTACACCAAATGGCATGTGGAATCATATTATTACTTGATAATAATGTACAAAAAAAAAGTCTGGGAATGATCGGACATAGTACAATTAGGCAGATGGCATGAGAGCTCAGCTCCGTGTTTTGTTCTCTGATAAGGACTGCTCTTTTAACCGATGACAGCGCGCGCTAGATCCGAACTTTGTTGTAATTAATCATAACTTTAGAAAGCAAATCGACTATTTACCTCAGCCATAATTTATGCCATACAAACTTGGCTGGCTTCTATCATTTTCTTACCGTTCACCGAAAAATCGACTGAAATATCGATATAGGCATGATTTCTCTCTGTACTCTCCTTTCCTAGTTCTCCACTCCCCGTCACCTATAAACTGTTTCCTGTTTCTTGTCTCCTGTTCTCTTTTGCCTGTTTCCTGTTCCTCGGTCCTTATTTCCTATTCCTTGTTCCTCGTTCCCTGTTCCCTATTCCCTGTTCTTTGTTTCCTATTCCCTGTTCTTTGTTTCCTGTTCCCTGTTTCCCGTTCCCTGTCTCTCTGTTCACTTAGTTGACGTAAATAAAGCGAGACAAACAGATAGGCAAACTTTGCCCTCTTCTAGTGGGTGTAGGACTTCATCGCTGGACTCTTCTTGTTTTATCCCATTCCTACGCTCGACAATCGCATTCCTTCGCGCGAGAAAATGGAGGCTGTTTCATATTTATTCATCGACTTTTATTTATGTCATTTTATTTCTAAAACAAATCTACCCATTTTCTATTTTTTTAATTATCTTTAAATTATGCATTTATGCTGAAAGTATCAGCCTTAATCATAAAAACTACAAATTCCTTGATTGTGATTGTTTTCAAAAACTCACTTTATCTATTAATTTACTTGCCAAGTTGTTATCGGATAGTTTGTTATGGGACAGTTCAATAAGCCAATTACATCTAAAGTTGTAGTTATATCAACCAATCACACCCTCGGTTTCAGTCACCATAGAGACACAAACAACCTTTTCAGTCTAGATGCAAATTTTCCCTTTTTTTCATAACTTGGTTAATCATCTTTCCTTGCAAATTGTAATTTTTGTGATTAATTGGTAATAAGACTTCGGGGAGTCCAATTCCGTCTGAAATCATATTCTTGGTAACAAAGTATGATTGCAGACCGAGATGGACTCCACTCAGTCCTATTACCATTACTAACTAAGGTAAAAAAATAAATAACTTAGCTTACCACATCCTTTTTTTCTGATGTTGTGTATATTCACACTGATAAAGAGCGGTCATCTAGCTCATCTACAAATCCTTTAGCTGTTAACCCTTTGAACTCTAAGATTGACTTACATCTAATTTCTCCTTATAGTATCACCCCTGAATAAAACAAAAAGGTCACGAGAATAAAGGAAATGATCATCAACTTAAGAACCCTTGATTGTTTAACAAATTCTCCTTGTCAATTCCATTGGAAATATATCGAGAGCAGTATGAAAGAAATGCATATTAACTTGAGGATGTAAAGCGTTAAGCTATTTTGTGAAGACAAGATACTACCTGAATGTTTATTTACATAATATAATAATGTTGAATTGCACAATATTATAAAAATTGCAATCACAATTTCTAACGTGCTAATATTTACTTCTTTGAGAAAAACAGAATCCAGCGAACCTATACAAAACGTGAAGCGAATCAAGATAAAACGATAGAAGCGATCAAAGCGAAACAAAGTTGTAAAGAACGGCTTTGACAAAATCACGCACAAAAAAGGTGAACTCAATTTATACAGACGCAAACCAAACCTAAACTGACGCAGAACTAAATCTAAAGTAATGGAAATAATGAAACAAACCCAAATGAACAAAATGCAAAATAAAACCTTACACATGAAACGTACAAAGGAACCAAGTTCAATAATAAATGATCCTTAACGTAATCTGATTAATTCAATTTTTCTCCTTTTCCTTTCCTTTTTTCTCCAATTTAATGCAGAGGTTGGAGAGTTTAGAGCAGACTTAAAAACTACCTTCACAGAACCTTTGTGAGTGTTTACTTCTCCCACACTAGTTAAATTCAATTTTGTGGGTTAATCTCACGGAGGGGAATGATCTCAACCTGTCTGTGTGGCTGAGGTCGTTGGCGAAAAACTCGCCTAAAACCTGGCATTCTCATATACAAAAATCCTGGCATTCTCATATACAACCAAATGCTAAGGTCCTTCGTAAAATTACTTCCTTTCCAGTCTCTCCAACTATTTTTCTGGGTGCAGAAAATTTCGAAGTTCTAGTTATAGGAAATCTAATATTTTTCGAAGATCTTTCTCTACTCTTGACCGGACCAGCAGGACCTTCCAAACATTCACTTGTTTCTACCCCGCAGTGTTTCACCAAAAAAAAAATTAGATAAGCTTTTTTTGAACTGGTGTTAGAATAACTGGTTTAATGGCATTAATTGTTACCTTGCAATTGTCCATAAACTAACGAGTCACAAGGAAATTCTACAAACTGGTAACGAATTCTCTAGTGTCCGCCATTTTGTTTCTCCCAGTAATCTTTGCGCCGCTATCTAGTTTCCATGCTTCGAAGTGAGGAGCGGGGCACTTGGAGGTTTCTCTTCCTTCAGCCCGTACCTCTCTTGCCAAGTACGCCCATATTATCTGCTATTGCCGAAAAATGTCCTTCACTTTTCCTCGAATTGTGTCACTGGTAGGATTTCCTTTCCGCAATACAAGCAGGTAACCGGTCAATAGACACAAGACGGACTTTTTCTGTGGCTATGTGGAATGGAAAGAATGCGGGCCGGAATGATAATCTACTCCGCGAGAAAAAAGCAGGTGCGTGCGTGGTATTTTCATTAAAGCGGTCGCTCACAGTTCCTTCAAATCTCTGAACTTCGTCAAGCTTTTTGGTAATGAAATAAAATTCCAAACCATCGAGGAAGTTGGATGACTTGGACGCCATCATTAGCAGATACCAAAACACTCAATACGCGAATGGAACCAACGCGTTATAGCTAGCGCTGCAATTTAAGAGATGATTTAAGCGATCTATTGCCCCAGGTCAATTGTAGCTCAAACTGTTAATAAATTGATAAACCGCATTGAAATGCGTGAACCATCTAACTTTTTCCATTAGCCTCAATCTGCTGCATCGCGTGGGTAAATGACATCCGTTCTGTTATCACAACTTTAGCGATCAACAACGACATGCAAGAGCTTGTAAGTTTATTTCTATGTTTTTATTATTTTTTAAATTATCTCATTCGCAGCCAAGTTATGTTAAACTTGTGGGAAGAAGTTTCGAGAAAAAAAGAACGAGATACAGAAACATAGATAATTGACCATAACTGTTACCATCATTTTATTATGACTTCAGATTCAATGAGTGAATTTGACATTTATACCTGTTACCTAAACTTACGTGCAGCATGCAAAGCTCTTTTTTTTTTCTGTTACCGTCTTATCATTTAGCTTGATGAGGAGGATTAGAGAAAAATTAGGAGTTATAATATTAATTATTCAGAGCTAGGTAACCAGTAACTGTTAAGTTCACATTTAGAATTAATTCTTCCAAGTTGTGATGGGCGTTTTAAGATGACTTAAGGTTCATTAACATTAAAATCCTCAATATTGAGCGCTCATTCAGAATGACGTTCTCTTGGTTATTAAGAATGTTCTGTTTTTTGTGGAGGCTGATACATTGTAGCTTCATTCAGCCAGTGCAAATGAAACAAAAGTTTTCTAGATCATACATTAATTAAAGATTGCCCAGTTAAACTTTCAGAGTGGATTATTTTGAGGCTTTTCAATAATTTTTTTTTTTGAGAAATAAATTAGTTATTTCTCTTTACACTTGTCAGCAGGCTTGCCTGCATGCTGTTCTTGTGTGCACTTTAGTGGACAAAACTAAGTTGAGTGATCAAATATGACTGGTGGCTATGTTTGCTGTTTTAGGATTTTCCTCAGCTCAGGAGGGTCTCATGTATGTTGATCATCAAATGACGAAGATGAAATGTACAAAAAGACTGGTAAAGTCTCAATATAGAGGAATATTTACACCTTTAGAAGGTTCGTCGAGCTACAAAGTTCAAATGTTTTCAGCTGGTAGAATATGATGGTCGAAGTAGCTAGTACAGATTAATGGGTTTATGCTAGAAAAATGGCCCACTTTTGTCACTCTTTTTCTCCGGGTAAGTTAAAATTAGAAATGTGTTTTTCAGTAGTTATTCTTTCAATGGTTTTTGCAGTGTTAGTATAAGACGCGGTAAGTTCAGGCGTTTTCTGCATTAAATGGACAGGAACATCCGAATGTCTTGGACTGCACACGGAAATTCTGGAATCCACTCTTCTAATGCACTTTAGGAGACATAATAAACTTTACAAAAACAGAGAAAAAAAAGAGGAAAAAGAGAAAAAAAAAAAGAGACTGATAAGAAATTCAAAATAAGAACAAGAAGAAACAAGCGACTTAAGGTGACTGGGGACACCACGTGACTTAACTGAAGTGACCGAACCTCTAACCCTTCCGACGACCCGATATCTGCCGATGTACTTTCGGTGCCAGGCTCTGGCTCTCTTTTCTTCGCTCTACTTTCTACGTTTCCCGTTCTTTATTTTCTGCTCCCCGTTCTCTGTTCACCGTCCCCTTTCACCGTTGCCTGATAATGCTTTTAGTGACATTGCACACGCAGCTAAGACTCACGACTAGCAAAGCGGTCAACAAACTGGAAAGCAAAACGTGCCAAGTGGCGGAACACAACAATCGCTGTAAAGAGGGAAAAATTGTTATCTTCTTGTGCCGTATAGAAGTGCTGAGTTGCGAGACTCATCGCTACTTTGTCGTAGCGCTTGAATTAAAAGAAAGAAAAAAAAAATCGTTAATCATCCAAACAAATTCAAAGCAAATCAAAATTACCACGGTTGGTGTATTTCTTTAACAAATTAACATTGTTTTCACAAATGACTGGAATGATCAGATAATTAAACAGATGGCGTGACAGTTCAGCTCCGTGTTTTGTACTCTGATAAGGCACGCTCTATCAACTGATGACAGCGTGCGCTAGATCCGAACTTAGTAATAATTAATTATAGTTTTAGGCAACAAATCAGTTATTTACCGCGGCCGAAATTTATCCCATACACACTTGGCTGGTTTTCATTATTTTGTTACGGTTCACCGAAAAATCGACTAAAATATCGATATAGGCATAATTTCTCTCTCTATTCCCCTTTTCCCCATTTCTCGTTCTCCACTCCCCGTCATCTATAAACTGTTCCCCGTTCCTTGCCTCCCTTTCTCTGTTCCCTGTTCCTGGTTCCTAGGTCCCTATTCCCTGTTCCCCGTTCCTCGGTCCCTCTTCCCTCGGTCTCTTTTTCCTGTTCCCTGTTCCCTGTTCCCTGTTACCCGTTACTGTTTCCCGTTCCCTGTTCTCTGTTCTTTGTTTCCCGTTCTCCGTTCCCTGTCCCCGGCTCCCTGTTCCCTATTCCCTATTCCCTGTTCCCTGTTCTCTGCTCTCTGTTCTCTGTTCTCTGTTCTCTGTTCTCTGTTCTCTGTTCTCTGTTCTCTGTTCTCTGTTCTCTGTTCTCTGTTCTCTGTTCTCTGTTCTCTGTTCTCTGTTCTCTGTTCTCTGTTCTCTGTTCTCTGTTCTCTGTTCTCTGTTCTCTGTTCTCTGTTCTCTGTTCTCTGTTCTCTGTTCTCTGTTCTCTGTTCTCTGTTCTCTGTTCTCTGTCTCTGTTCTCTGTTCTCTGTTCTCTGTTCTCTGTTCTCTGTTCTCTGTTCTCTGTTCTCTGTTCTCTGTTCTCTGTTCTCTGTTCTCTGTTCTCTGTTCTCTGTTCTCTGTTCTCTGTTCTCTGTTCTCTGTTCTCTGTTCTCTGTTCTCTGTTCTCTGTTCTCTGTTCTCTGTTCTCTGTTCTCTGTTCTCTGTTCTCTGTTCTCTGTTCTCTGTTCTCTGTTCTCTGTTCTCTGTTCTCTGTTCTCTGTTCTCTGTTCTCTGTTCTCTGTTCTCTGTTCTCTGTTCTCTGTTCTCTGTTCTCTGTTCTCTGTTCTCTGTTCTCTGTTCTCTGTTCTCTGTTCTCTGTTCTCTGTTCTCTGTTCTCTGTTCTCTGTTCTCTGTTCTCTGTTCTCTGTTCTCTGTTCTCTGTTCTCTGTTCTCTGTTCTCTGTTCTGTTCTCTGTTCTCTGTTGTCTGTTCTCTGTTCTCTGTTCTCTGTTCTCTGTTCTCTGTTCTCTGTTCTCTGTTCTCTGTTCTCTGTTCTCTGTTCTGTTCTCTGTTCTCTGTTCTCTGTTCTCTGTTCTCTGTTCTCTGTTCTCTGTTCTCTGTTCTCTGTTCTCTGTTCTCTGTTCTCTGTTCTCTGTTCTCTGTTACCTGTTCCCCGTTCTCTACTTCTCTTCCCCGTTCTTTATTCCCTGTTCTCCGTTTACCGATCCTTATCCTCTCGTTTTTTATTCCCTAAGTTTGAGGTAAATAAAGCGAGACAAACAGATAGGCAAACTTCACCATAAAAACTTTGACTGTGATTAGTTAAAAAAATTCACATTTTTCCTTTAATTTACTTGCCGAGTTGTTATCGGACAGTTTGTTATGGGACAGTTCAATAAGCCAATCACATCCAAAGTTGTAGTTTAAATCAACCAATCACATTCAAAGATGCAGTTTAAATCAACCGATTACAGCCTCGGTTTCAATCACCATAGAAACACCAGTTCCTTTTCAGTCTTTTAATGCAAATTTTATCTTTCTTTCTTAACTAGGCTATACTTCTCTTCTCGCAAATTGTACTCTTTAGAATTTATTGGTAATAAGACTTCGTAAGGTCCAATTTGGTCTGTAATCATACTCTTGGTAGCAAAGTATGATTGCAGACCAAATTGGACTCCAATCAGTCCTATTACTACCACTAATTAATATAGATAACTAAATAACTTAGCTAATCACATCCTTTTTTTCTGATGTTGTGTATATTCAAATTGATAAAGAGCGGTCATCTAGCTCATCTACAAATCCTTTAGCTGTTAACCCTTTGAACTCTAAGATTGACTTATATCTAATTTCTCCTTACAGTATCACGCCTGAATAAAACAAAAAGGTCACGAGAATAAAGGAAATGATCATCAACTTAAGAACCCTTGATTGCTTAACAAATTCTCCTTGTCATATCCACTGGAAATATATCGAGAACAGTATAGAAGAAATGCATATTAACTTGAGGATGTAAAGCGTTAAGCTATTTTGTGAAGACAAGCTACTACCTGAATGTTTATTTACATAATATAATAATGTTGAATTGCGCAATATGATTAAAATTGCAGTTACAATTTCTAACGTGTTTATATTTACTTCTTCGACAAAAACCAGAATCCAGCCAACCTCTACAAAACGTGAAGCGAATCAAGGAAAAGCGATAGAAACGATCTAAGCGAAACAAAGTGGAAAAAAACGGCCTTGACATAATCACGTAGGAAAAAGCGTGAACTCAACTTAAACACACGCAAACTAAAATTGAAATGACGCAGAACTAAATCTAAGGAAATGGAAATAATCAAATAAAATCAAATGAACAAAATGCAAAATGAAACCTTACACATGAAACGTACAAAGGAACCACGTTTAATAACAAATGATCCTAAACGCAGTCTGATTGATTCAATTTTCCTACTCTTTTCCTTTCCATTTTTTTTTTATTTAATGTAGAAGTTGGAGAGTTTAGAGCACTTCTTATCAAAAGCTACAGTCAAAGAACCTTAGAGAAAGTTCATTTCCCCCACACTAGTTAAATTCAATTTTGTGGATTAATCTCACGGAGGGGAAAGTTCTGAACCTGTCTGTGTTGCTGAGGTCGTTGGCGACATAATATCTTTAAAGCTCGCCTAAAATCTGGTATTCTCATAGAATACAATATCGGATTCAAAAAAGAGTTTGCGTAAAGCAAGACAATTGAACCACCTAGCAAACGGAAAAGCGCTATTTCAGACAATGAACTGAAAATGTCAGTAGCAAAAAAGAGAGATCTAGTTATAACATAAGGCAGCCACAATACGAGTGAGAGAGAAGTCGCGGTGAACAACGTAACGGTCAGTTTCCTTTCCCTATTTGCCGCGCCATGGTGTCGAGGCTGACTTCCAAAGCGAAGCTTGACAAAAATAAAAACGTTAGAGACACAAATAACCAAAAGAGAAAAGAAGATGAATGAACTCCATGCGTAGAAATAATAGTCCAATTTACGTGTATAGTATTGAATCATTATTAACGCACATGAAAAAAGTAGTGCTGTCAACCAGATAGCGATGATAAGAACCCAGTAGACTGACTTTTTGATCGTACGATGTCTAAAGGGCCAAAACGTTGCGTTCAGGCGTTCTAGAGAAATAACAGTCATATTCGTTAACGAAACAATAGGAAACCAGTGGTGTAAGACCTGTAGTATCTGATACCAAGACAGTATATTGTACCTCCAGAAGTTACATATCGCTCCAACATTATAGAAGAGGTCGAGTGTAGAAGTTCCCCCGGATATCATGTCTGCAACTGTCAAGTTTATCACCAAGTATGTGGATCGTTTACGAAGATTACGATCTCTACAAAATGCAATCTCTGTCAATGAATTCAGTGTTATTATGGCGACAGATTCAGTCAGGCCCACAACCATCCAGGTTATACACTCAGGTGAAGAAGCCATCGGAGAAGTCTTTTTCTGTTCCAAATAGTTGAGAAATGTTAGGGTATTTCCGGCTATGATTTGAGAAAAGATCACTAACCTGTCTTTTATAGTGCGAAAGAGACTAGTCTGACGTAACCTCTACACTTTATTTTGGTAGCCCTTCAGACAACAAAGTTTACCCATAGTCTTACATCCCTTCTTCGGTACGTTTTCTTAAATGTTAACTACGTCCTTTAAAAAAAAAAAACCCTCTCCGATATGAAGACGGCCTTTGTTTCCCTATTGGTCGTGCAGAGCAACTAGTTTGTATAGCTACTTAAGACAGCCATCAAACTACTTTGGGCTGTTTCAAAGAGATTTTGAACGCTTTTTACGAGTCAAAAATCAGTGACTATTGAGCCCGTAACTTTCCGTTCGCGTGGGCTCATTATTGTAAAAGAAAACTAACATTCTGACCCCAAAGTTCGCCTATTCTCTCACTCAAATGGAATTAATTATTTTTCAGTAAAAAATTGTAGCTGATAGATCTTATTTTTTTCAATTTATTTTGTTTTATTTTTAATTCCTGCTTGGAAAATGCCTTTCTATGCTTTTGTTCATTTTGTCCTGTCGCATGGAATTGACCGCTTATTACAGGAATAAGACTTTTTCAAATTCACTGGCTACTTTCTGTGCGAGACATGCGACATAGCCTTTTACTCATCGACGACGCACCACAATATATTTCATACAAACATGATATGCGTGAACCAATTAGATATGGCCTAGACCATTTAGATGAATGACAGCTCATTTGGTATGGCTCAAAGGTTCCCAGAGAGAGAATTATGTGAATTGAAATTTACGCCCCTTGCTTGTTTTTGTAATGTTTCAACGCTTTTTCTCACCTTTAGCCTTATCGCCGACGCAATTTACGACTTTCTTCTTGGATGGTCGACCCTTTTTTTTTTTATCTGTCAATAAAGTCGACTTAACCTGCCGGTAAAGACTATGAAAAAAGAAAAAAAATGTAATACATGGTCCTTGTAGATTTGGAATTTCTCTTCTCGAGTTCAACTAGCGCGAACTCGTGAGACATTGAGCTGAAGACTCGTAGAGAAACCCTATGTCTGCGCCCGCCATGTATTATTCATAAATTATCTTGAGTTCAGAAGTGAAGACTGACAATTTATCCAGATGGGATGCATAATTGATAACAAGCGTTGGAAATAAAACACCAACACTTCAAAGATGTTCCTATGTCCTTTTGTTTCTATGTCGCATGTTTTTTTATCATTATTATAGTTGTTTTGTAATCAATACCAGTTCCATAGTGAAAGATATCATCGTCATTGTGACTATTATTCTTGTAAACATGTTTATCATCATTTCTATCGTAGTTCAGAATTGGTCCGCAGAAAAGTTCAAATAATTTGTTTTTCCACTTCACCTGGATCTGCATACCAGATATCAGCACCACTTTATTTCGCATTTTTCATTTACTGATTAGTTTTCTCAGCCAGATGCGGATGATGTTGATTTCCGTAACTAATAACTCTGAAGCTGGCAATGGATTATGGGCTTCCTCCAAGTCTCGGTCGTCGTCATTTTCATATTTGAACGTTCTCAGTACTAGCGCGTTTCTTTTACTTGTGCGTTTAATTTTTGTTTTTGTTTTGTTCTCCTTTCTAATTTTTTTTTTGGAAAAATGTATTTGAAGTAGTCTTCTTTCATTTTTCCCTTTCTCTTTTGCCAATTGAGAGTAAATGATAAAACTAAAATAGAAAGAAAAAAAGGCTATTCATTTTTGCTTTCCAACAGATGCGCATCTCCATAGGTGAACGTAGGCGTAGAAAAATGTTTTTTTTATTTATTTTTATTTTTTACAACGGGTAATAACAAGAAAAGCATATCAAAATACTTTTTACAAAACGGTTATCATTCATCACCTTAAAGTAAAGCGAGTTTCGAAAACTGACACTCTATATCTGAAACTCTTTTCCATCCAAGATATCTGCTGCATTCGCCAATTTACTCCGCTTGTTTAGTGGTTTTTCTTTTTCATTTCAGGGATATTCCTGCCACGGAAGACGTTTTTTTTATTCTTTCAAATTATAAGAGTCTCGAATAAAATTAAAAAAATAAGGAGGGAAAATGTTAGGGAGTCCATGAATGCTCTCCGAATAAGTCTTGTTATTACCGAATTCTCGTGACACATTCTCCTTAGAGCATGTGGGAGTATGAAAAAGATGTATGCTAAAAAACAAAGCTAATAACAAATAGAGCATATCAAACGAATTTGACACAAAACGGTTATCATTTGTTGCCTTCAGGCGTGGTATCATACAAACAGGTGTCGAATATCTGAACCTATTTCTCTTTTACACACATTTTACTTCGATCGGCCGAAGATATCAGCTGTAGCTGCCAATTCAGACCGCTTTTTCGAGTAGTTTTCCTTTTCATTTTTGATATAATTATGCCACAGAAGGTTTTGATCTCCGCATAAAAAAAAAAAAAAAAAAAAAAAAATTAAAGAAAATTGGATATCCTTCAATCTTGAGTGAGGTTTCATGTTATTTTCATCGTTCAAACAGCCTCAAATGAATCGACCCAAGTAAAAGTATATTGGACAACCCTCCTCCATCAGAAATTCACCTTAAAATTTAGGGTGAACTCTCTTTTAATTTAGAAACATTGAAATAATTTAAGAGGAATTTGTTAAGAAAATAATCTTCAAAGCCTACCTTATCTCAAATAACTTTCTTAAAAGCGTCCTCAGGTTCTTTATAATCTTCCGCCGATGAAACTCAGAATCGTGCCAGGCGCCTGCATTGCAAAATTGGCACTTTATGAGCTGTGCGCAGCTGTTTAATTAGGAATAAGTCGATCGCGAGTTGAATAATAATTAAGAATTAAGAATTCCTGTCTCTAATGAACCCTTCGATCGATTAGGCAATGGCGTCGTTTAAAATTTGTCGAACCCATTCAGTTCGGTGACAGATAGGTTACACTTTTAGTGTTTTCCTCTAGTTTTCCATAGAAAGAAGCAATAAAGTCGCTCTGAATAATTTTGCATGATTCTGTTCACTTCTTTTAGGAAACAGGGATGTTTTTCGTCTTGTTGCGAGCGTTGGACAAAAAAAAAAAAACAAAACAAAAAAAAAAAAAAGAAAAAATCCTGAACCCACATTTACCGACTCAAGACTTACCGTCTTTGTAATTCTATTCAATCTAATTTCAGTTTTTCTGTTTTCATTACTGGTAAAAGTTGCAATAAACAAGTTGAAATTATAAATGTTTTTCAGTATAGGCTAGTTGTCCTTTCAATTTTTTTTTGATGCTGATTAAAGACGTGGTAGCTTCAAGCGTTTTCGTAATAAATTAACAATAACATTCAATTGTCTTGCACTGCACACAAAATTCTGGAATCCACTTCTCTAATGTACTTTAGGAGACATAAAAAGAAAAAAAAACTTTGCAATTACTTAAGAAATACAAAATAGGAACAAGAGCAAACAAACGACTGAGGGTGATTAAGGACACCACGTGACTTGATTGAAGTGACCAAACCTCTCACCTTTCCGAAGAGCCGATTTGTGCCCAAGAACTTTGTCAAGAAAATAATCTTCAAAACCTACCGTATCTCAACTCACTTTCTTAAAAGTGTCCTCAGATTCTTTATTATCTTCGGGCGATAAAACTCAGAATCGAACATGGCGTTTGCAAAATTGACATTTTGGAAGCTGTGCGCAACCGTTCAACAAGGAAAACGTCGATCGTTATCTGAATAATAATCTTTCTTCATACGTATTCTTTGTTTCTTATTTAATAATATATAGGGTGGCCCACAACTTTCACGGCTAAAGAAATAACCGCACAGTAAAAGAAAAAGACTCACGGTAAAAAGAATAACCTCAAGGCAAAGGTAAAAGATTACGGTGGCCCGTAAGGGTCACCGTATCTTTCCCTGTAAAACTCAAGTTTTATTTTCAAAACTAATGTTTTTTTTTTTCCAAAACCCAGGTTATTTTTCACTACAAAAGCCTCCGAGTTTTTCCCTAAACTCAGGTTTTTTCCACAAAACCCAGGTTTTTTTTTCCACAACCCAACTTTAAGGCATACACCGCAAGCAATCTTGTCGCGGGCTCATCGCAGTCTGCCCTCTGACGTCCAAGATGGCGGAAGTAGTAAAGTCATTGCAGGAGGTTGGTGCATTTTGCGTTTGATTATGAGGTTAATGAATGACAGAATTACCACGAGCAAGCTTTGCCCTTGTGCATGTCAGAGATTAAATATCACTTGTTGTGAAATAAAGGAAAAGTATTAGACTTTCGAAGAAGAAACTATGCAGCTTGATAGAGGCTTCGACATGTAGTTCTTTGCTATTATTATCAGCTATACTGAAACTGTACCGTAGTGTGCGATTGTGTTTGAGTTTGGCCCATGTATGGAACAGGCCCATACGTACGACAATTTCCATAAGCTACATTATCCTATTATTACAGGAATCTGCCGGTCTTTGTTGTCGTGTTTGCTTTAGTTGACTACAAGCTGGAAGAAGGGAAGGGCTTTACACAAATTTATCGATGGTCAATGAAAAACACATTACTGTCTGACTGCAATAAAGTCAATTCTGTTGTCGATCCTGATCTTTACAATGTATGAGCTGTTCCATTAAACATAGCATCATATCCCCGTTCTCTGTTGGCTGTTGTCTGTTTCCTGTTCCCCGTTCACTTTTTCTCTTCCCCGTTCTTTATTCCCTGTTCCTCGTTTACCAATCCTTATTCTCTCATTTTTTATTGCCTAAGTTTGAGGTAAATAAAGCTATTCAAACAGATATGCAAACTTCACCCTCTTCTCCTGGGTGTAGGACTCTAATGCTGAAGTCTTGTTGTTTTATCCAATTCCCACGCTCGACAATTGCATTCCTTTGCGGGAGAAAATAGAACCTGTTTCATATTTTTTCGTCGACTTTTATTTATATCAGTTTTTTTTTAATACACATCTGCCCATTTCCTATTTCTTATTTCATACATGCATAAGTGTTAATCATCTTGAAATTATGCATTTATGCTGACAGTATCAGTCTTCATCATAAAAATTTCAATTTCCTCGATTGTGATTGGTTTGAAAAACTCACACTTTTTCTTTTAATTTACTTGCCAAGTTGTTATCGGAAAGTTTGTTATGGAACGGTTCGATAAGCTAATCATATCCAAAGTTGTAGTTTAAATCGACCAATCACATCCAAAGATGAGTTTAAATCAACCAACTACAGCCTCGGTTTCATTCACCATAGAAACACTAATTCCTTTGTCAGTCTTTAATGCAAATTCTCTCTTTCTTTTATAACTTGGCTATATTTCTCTTCTTGCAAATTGTAATTTTTATAATTAATTGGTAATAGGACTTCGTGGACTCGTGATAACAAAGTATGATTGCATACCGAATTGGACTCCACTCAGTCCTATTACCATCACTAATTAAGATAAATCTAGCTAATCACATCCTTTTTTTTTTAATGTTGTGTATATTCAAATTGATAAAGAGCGGTCACTTGGCTCATCTACAAATCCTTTAGCTGTTAACCCTTTGAACTCTAAGATTGACTTACATCTAATTTCTCCTTACAGTATCTACCCTGAATAAAACAAAAAGGTCACGAGAATAAAGGAAATGATCATCAACTTAAGAACCCTTGATTGTTTAACAAATTCTCCTTGTCAAATCCCTTGGAAATATATCGAGAACAGTATGAAGGAAATGCATATTAACTTTAGGATGTAAAACGTTAAGCTATTTTGAGAAGACAAGCTACTACCTGAATGTTTATTTACATAATACGATAATGCTGAATTGCACAATGAGATTAAAATTACAATCACAACGTCTAACGAGCTAATGTTTTTTTCTTTGAAAAAAACGGAATCCAGCGAACCTATAAAAAACGTGAAGCGAATCAAGGAAAAGCGATAGAAACGATCAAAGCGAAACAAAGTGGTAAAAAACGGCTTTGACATAATCACGCTGGAAAAAATATGAACTTAACCTAAACACACGCAAACTAAACCTAAACTGACGCAGAACTAAATATAAAGTAATGGAAATAATCAAACAAGCCCAAATGAACAAAATTCAAAATGAAACCTTACACATAAAACCTACAAAGGAATTACGTTTAATAATAAATGATCCCTAACGTAATCTGATTAATTCAATTTTCCTCCTTTTTACCTTTCCTTTTTTTTTTATTTAATGCAGAGGCTGGAGAGTTTAGAGCAAACTTCCTATCAAAAACTACCTTCACAAAACCTTTGTAGAAGTTTATCTCTCCCACACTAGTTAAATTCAAATTTGTGGGTTAATCTCACGGAGGGGAATGATCTCAACCTGCCTCTGTGGCTGAGGTCGTTGGCGACATAACATCTTTAGAGCTCGCCTAAAACCTGGCATTCTCATAGTATACAATATCGGATTTAAAAAAGAGTTTGCGTAAAGCAAGATTATTGACACATGTTGTAAACGGAAAAACGCCATATCAGACAATGACATTAAAATGTTAGTGGCAAAAAACAGAAAAGTAGTTATAACATAAGGCAGCCACATAAGGAGAGAGAGAGAAGTCACCGTGAACAACGTCACGGTCAGTTTCCTTTCCCTGTTTGCTGCGCCATGGTGTCGAGGCTGATTTCCAAAGCGAAGCTTGGCAAAAATAAAAACGTAAGAGACACAAACGACCAAAAGACAAATTGAGATGAATGAACTCCATGCGTAGTAATAATAGCCCCATTCACGTGCATAGTAATCAATCATTCTCAACGCACATGAAAAGAGTAGTGCTGTCAGCCAGACGGCGATGATAAGACCACGTGACTTGGCTGAAGTGACCAAACCTCCCACCTTTCCGAAGAGCCGTTTTTTTCCGATGTACTTTGTTAAGAAAATAGTATTCAAAGGCTACCGTATCTCAACTAACTTTCTTAAAAGTCGATCGCTATCTGAATAATAATCTTTGTTCATACGTAATATATAGATTTAGCCGAGCATAAAAGCGAAGCTCTTGTTAGTTTATTTTCTAGCCCCTCATTACAATAAAAACTGTAATAAAACTCTTCAGCTTTGGCTGTAGAAGAGTTTCTTCAAGGGGATTAAGAGACCAGTCCGGGAGGTGGGGAGGGAAGGGAAGAATTGGCGAGGTCTGGAACCTGGGGACGACGTCGATGAAACGCATGCTAGTCAGCGGTATCTTCAAGCAGCTGAGGATCTTCGTTGTAGTTCCTGATGTTTTGAGCGAATTTTCGAAGATAGAGAATCTTTTCTTCTTCAGGGGAGGTGTGCGATGTCAGTTCAATCCCTACACATGATGAAATGTCAGGAGATCAGTGGAAAAATGTACCAAACATCTGCAAGATTTGATGTGATTGTTTTAATGACATGAATATTAACTGATCCAAGGAGATCTAGGTATATTCAAAAGAATGAAACTTTGTTTGAAAAATTAAAACTCAGCATAGGCCAAATAAACAAGGTTATTAGAAAAACAAATCTCTACTAATGAAAAAAGCTAAGCAACCTTTTTACTGGTTTTATATGTTGAAAACAGACACACACATGCAGATTTCTTATAAACCTGTAGTTCAAGCCCGCCATGACTTCAAAATTTTTATGCACATCTCAAAAGGAAAAGAAGTAAATTTCAAGTTTCTATTTATTCAGGTTAAAGTAGGTTTGTCAGGTCAAATTAAGTCAGTCAAAGAAATTTTCACAACTAATATATTAGGTTAGCCTATCTAGAACAATCAACTTCAGGTACAAATAAGACTAGGTATATACCGATGATGCACAAAAGAACTATCTGTGGTAAGAAAGCAGGCTTTCCTTTCTTCATTAAAAGAAAAAAAAAGAGGTTATCATCTCTCCACAAGCTCAGCAGAAAGTGAGAGTGAGAGGGACTGATAGTGACTATGTTCTTTGAGTAAATATCCAGAGAAGGATAAAAGGCAAGATGTGGTCTGCACAACTTTCTTATTTCAATTTTATAACCTATTAAGCTAAGTCATTTATATTCTTGCTTTGTGAATTATGGAAATGAAAATTAATTTAACTTTCATGTAGGGTAAAATAAAAACATGAATTAAAATAGCAGTGCCAACTTTAATTTCAGTCCTAATTAAGGCGGGGGTAAACCTGAAAAAATGCCCATTTTTCACTCATTTTTCACAGCTAGGACTTACTTCAAAACTTAGGCAAACTATATATCCCTGGAAAGCTTATGACTTGAAGATCATGAAAAAATATATTTCAGACTCAACATGTCAATTGTAATAGGATACCACTCATTTAATTGAGCCACCTGCTGGGTTCTACCAGGGGTAACTTCCTTCTGGAATTAATAAAAAATAATGTTTTTAGCATCAATTCAAAGAAGACATGTTGCTTATTATTATAAGCAGAGGGATTTCTAATATGTTGAAAACATTTTAAATGATGATCAATTAAATTTGACATGGAAAATCAGAGGGGTGTTTCACTTCATAACTTTAAGTACATACATCATATGGAAAATTGCTCTGCTTATAACACAAAACTTATCAAAAGGAACAAATGCTGAAAATTTCAGATCAATTGGATAAATTGTTGTCAAGATATCTTTTCTTGAAGACAAAATTATTGCGTAATGAGAAAATAGCCTTTAAACTTACAGATAGCAATCAAACTTAATTTTTTACAATATGTAACCACTATAGTGGCCCAAGTGTCCATATTTTGTCCACAGGAGTATCTAAAAGTAATTTAAAAGCCTCCTGGTTCATAAGTAACTCCTTCAGCTTCTCGAAGGGCTTCCTCTCGATGAGTCCTCAGAAGTCGCTTCCCTTGACACCGTCTCTTTTCCTTCTGCATAACCTGCAAATTGGACTAGCCAATCTTTTACTGTCTTTTGCATGTGTTGCCTCTCTTGTACAAACACCACCAGGGATACAAAGCCTCTCCATGATTTTTAGCCTACTAAAAGACTCAGCAGTTAATGTCATATGATTTCCCTCGCTGGGTCACACCACTGGATGGTGGAAGTGGACTGGATTCCTCACAGGAACTGCACTGAAGGGAAAACTGTAACCCCCACTCTTGCACTTTTATCTTCCTCAAGAGTTAAGGTGCCTTAAGACAAATCGAGTGAAAATTATAAGATAAATTGGGCAATTTTGTTATTAGCAAAGTAAAGACCTCAAGTCAGAAATACACATTCTGTGATTTTTCCCCATAATTTTTTGTTTACAGTGTATATGCACATTGCCTAAAAATCTTCCTCTTACCCAATCCAAGATTTAATAGATAAATCAGCATATTTAGACGAAAGACAAATTTAAAAAAATTTCTCACCTTTCTCACACACGTGTGCCTTTGAGACGGCCGTGGATAAATTTTTCACATTTATTAATCTATATCCCTCGCTTTCCTCGGTATTAAAGGTATACTCTTCATCAGAGCTGTATAAAAGAAGCGGTATATTTAATTTTCTTTCTGGAGGAACCAACGGTTTCTTTAGAGTCCGAGTCGGAGAGCTGATTTTCATCCCGCGAAGTGCTCGGAGTTGAGGCGGCGATTTCGTCAACATCAGGAGCTGTTTCTTCAGACTCTTCTTTCTGTTTTCGCCTTCCAGAAAAAATCTTTCTTTCTTTTCTTCCTGTAGACAGATCTACTTTTCTCTCTGACCATTTTCGATATAACTTTTCCTTTGATTATAACTTTTCCTTTGATTGCTCCGAGTACACCGAGTGTCACATTCGACCAAAACTGCCTCTAAATCTATCCCATAATGGTTTTGACCCTAGAAAACCATTCAGATAAGACTACATAAAGTATCTCTCGTTAAATCCTGCCCGTTTGGGAGCTTGGTTGCCAGAATAACACGTCATAAACAGCTGAAAAATAAAAAAAAAAATGCTCTTCTCGTTGCCATGGTAACCACGCCATTAGCCAGAGCGGGAATTTTGAAATCGCTCAAAAAGGCAAAAATAGTGAAAATAAGTAGAAAATTATTTTTCCATAGCGAAGTTGAATACCCAAAGCTGCAAATTCCGAGGAAAACAAAAAACTCAGTTTTTGAGCAAATTTCAGGTTTACCCCCGCCTTAAAAAGGGCAATCTTTGCTTTCCAGTTTTCCACCCTTTAAAATTCACATATCTTGAGACCAATCCATTATATCAATGTTTAGTTTGGGTATGAGTATTGGTAAGAAAGACCACACATTAATGAAAGCTTGAGCAAGAGTATTTAATGCAATTTAAAAAATAATATTACATGTTACAATCTAGCAACTTACACAGCAAAATGATATAATCACACAATTCCAGACAAAGAAAGCCAAGTAATTGACTAAACTGCTTCAACTTTTGAGAACTTGTGGTAGAAAAAATAAATATGGTAAATAATTACAATTAATACAAAGTTGAAAGTTTAAAAGCTAAGAGATATACATTGCAATCATCAAATCCTATGCATTTTAGCCAAAAAAAGGGTCAGTTACCACTATAACTTCTCCCAAACATTCATACTTACAGGAAATCATTAATTTTTGTCACTAGGTGGTACTGTACTTACAATAGTTCTACTGACACAAATGCATTTTTCTAAAATTATCACATAGTTTATGATAGTACAGGTCATGTGGATGGTTCCTGCATAGGGACTGGCATTTCAATTGCCTCAGCAAATTGTAATCACCAGAATTGCAAGCCAAGGTGTGTTTATTAAGTGCTCGAGTTTCAAAAGTAGTGACCTAATTGTTACAGTCAAGTTCACTCCTTTTTGAGGCCAACTTCAGCTTGATCACCTTGTCACATGTGAAAACATCAAATGTTACTCACATATTCAAATACTTGTTTGAATCATAGTTGTAATTATTTTAATAACCTGCCTCCTTTAACCCTTTAATCCCTGAGAGTGACTAGCGTCTAATTCCCCCTTTCAATATCACCCCTGAATCAAACATTAAGGTTACGAGAATAAAGGCAATAATAATGAACTGAAGAACCTATTGATTGTTAAACAAATTCTTCCCGCCAGCACATAAGGAAATGTATTGAGAACAGTTTGGAGAATATTCATACTGATGTTAGGTTGTAAATGGTCAATAGTGCTCCAAAAATAATAAATAGTATTGAAGAGAAACAAAGAAAGTTCTTGAAACATTCTATGTTTAATGAAACTTTGTTATGAATGTTAGTTGCAACAGCAATGAAAACATCTATGAAGCTACAATAACAATTTCCTTTCCATGTAAACAAACCATAATGGAGCATGATATAAAGAAATTTAATCTCACCCAGTTTGAAAGTAGAATCTGAAATCTTATAAACTTGCTAGTGAGGAGGAAAAAGCTCAAAGTGTTTTTCCTGCCTCTGTCGTTTTAAATATCACAAATCAATCATGTTACCACTTCAGTGTAATTTTTTTTAAGATGTGTACTTTTTCTTATGGTCATCTATTTTTAGTATCTATCTTTTGCCAGCCGACATCTGAGAAGAATCAAGTCCACAATGGTGATTTGACAAATTGTAAGCAAACCCGACAACTGATTAAATTTTATTTGATCGAAAACATGAAGGGCGATAGAGGAAATTGGCTAGCACTATTCAAGTTTCCCTTCTAAAGTATTCTGTGACTGTTTCTTTTACCATAGAGTAAAGTTTACAGTTTCCCTCTTTTCAGTGTCTTCTGTTCATCTGTTTGCTTTCCTAACAATCTTAACTATTGTTGCACACGAATGCAAGGGGCATATAAAATGTGCACAGTTATTGACACTTTAATTCCTGAGTGTGACTAGTATCCAATTTCTCCTTTCAATATCATCCCTAAATCAAGCATTAAGGTCATGAGAATAAAGGAAATGATAATCAACTGAAGAAATTCTTGATTATTAAAAAAATTCTCCTTGCCAAATTTAAATGAGATGGAAATGTATGGAGAACAGTATGGAGAATATGCGTACTGATGTTAGGATGTAAAGGGTTAAAGACATCGTGTAATCAGTTTTACGTATGTAGAGTATTGCTTGAATAAATAATTGTGGTAATTGCAACTGCCTGGTAAACATCAGTCTATGGTCTTCCACTCATCCACCTTGGAGGGTGCCTTGTATACATAAAAATTGAAGTTCAGTGCCTTTACCAACTTTTTTAGCTACAAAGATCAACAAAGAACGACGGCCACACCAAAAAATATTTTTCATGAAAGACATCTCTACAATGATAGGTACACACAACTGAAATGTTTGAGTGAAGCATGTCAAGCATCGAGGTATGATGGTCAGTTTGCTTTTCATTACTTGCAAACAGCTTATTTCTATCAGCTTTGAAACTACTGTATCCTCACTTTCGAAGAAAAGCAGTTCCCACGAACATTTAAACATTAAAGACATAAGCTACCAGCAACAGGTTTTTCCATTATTTCATAACATCAGATTCTCATCACATTTTTTTTTGTTACATTTGAAAGCATAAGAAAATTTTAATCATTACAATATAATGAAATCCCCCATTTTAACTGTTTTAGTCCCGCTAGTGACCTAGACGGAATTTCTACTTACACTATCAGTACAATATCAAGCAGACAAGTAATTAGAATAAAGAAAAATATCAATTAGGGGATATGTGGTTGATCCAATTCCAAATTCTCTAACCAAACATCACATAAATTGTATGGCAGACAATAAAGGTAATTATTAATGAAATCTTGAAAGTTAAAGGGTTATGTAATCATATGTACCACAAAGATAGCAAATAAATATAACATACTCCAGTAAAGTGTTCTTATGTACAATGAAGTTTCAAACTCATTGAAATTAAGTTGACTTCATGATTCAGATTTTAGTTTAAGAAATGTGTAATATCTCTACAAGGATGAAAAGAGAATTTCATTTATATTACCTACGTGTCTTTGCTTCTGAAGAAAGGTAGTATAGAGATTTAGCCAAGCCTAAAAGCTGAGCTCGCACTTTTTTTTCCCGAACGTCTCAAGTGCACAATGCCTTGCCCCGGCCGGGACTAGAACCAGGGTTGTCCGACTCGGAGCCTAGTGCACTGACCACTGGACTACTGGACAAAGTCGTGGCGTTGGCGTGCCCGCGGTACAGTTGACCATGCATGTTAAAAATGGCACCTTGTACGGTCGTACGGTCGTACATCCAAATTTTTTGGGCTTGATGGGTTACTACTATTTTGTATAATTATGGAGCTACGCTCTGCGAGCTCCGCTATAATAGATATTTTTTTAGCAATTATCTACATAATTATGTAAACCGGGTGCAGTATACGGTCGTAAAGGCAATTATTTTATTCTAACCTTCCTCCTTCAAGGGTGCCTTGTGTATCAGACATATCAAGTTCAGTACCTCTAGAGTCATAAGCCGGGCTTTTGGGGCTACAAAATAATATAATAATTAGCGAGTTATGGCATTTCAATTTATCGAGAGTCAATTAAATATAGTTCCCTAAAATCGTATGGAAAGTTTAAAATGTGCTTCACTTGTGCTACATATACGGATTTATCGTTCTTAATTACTCATGAGATTCCGAGAGTGTGACTGAATTAATTCAAAAGAAAATATCCAAGTAGGTTACGGAAATGGTTCAAGAATTGTCAACTGATAATGTGTTAACAAAACCTCCCTAAATTATGGTGCGGATACGAAATTATCGATCATAATCACTTACAAAATTCCGAGATTGTACCTCAATGAATTCAACCGAAAATATCCATGAAGGTTAGAGAAAAAGACTCTCAAAAATGGTTCTCAATTATCAACAATTATTTACGCTAACCATGTGCTTACCAGCGTGCTTGTGAACTCAAATTGCCAAGACCCCGTTTAATTACGCGATCACAGCACAGATGCGTCTTGCAAATCGCGATGACTATCGATTTCAGAGATTGATTCTTCAGTTTCCAGCATTAGCGAAACAAATTTCGTATCGCAAGCATGGTCATCATAACCTGAGCAGTAAGTACACCTCGAGATGTTGAGAGAAGAGAGAGTGGCTCCGCTATGAACCTGACGGGTTTTTATTCTTTGTTTCGTACTTCATTAAGAGGCGATCTCTGTAAGAGCGGTCCAGGGCATTTCGCATCGGAAAAAAGTTTTCCCTCAAACTTTACCCAATAAACTATCTTTGGTAACAAGTAAATAAAACCACATTAGTTTTTGGAAATACCTCAAAATAAAATTTTTAGAGCTCTCAAAAGTTAAAGCTGCAAAAGGCCCTTTTTTGACCTCTTGCGACATCGAAAATTTCAAATGTTGAATAGCCCGGTCCTCGTATCACACCGCATGCAACAAAAAATATTTTGTATTCTTAAAGTGTGTGATATATAAGGTGTATAAAATGCATTTCAATTTTGATATTCGTTTATTCAGAGGCTCGTCATAATTTATTTAAAAAGACTCGTTGGACAGCTTTCTGAAATTGGTTAAAAGTACTCTTTCTTTCTCGATTGATATCGCTCAAGTCCAGACCAGAAAAACTCCGCTTGATTTCTGCCATTAAGATGTTTGGCTGCAGAAAAATATAAAAACATCTCGCACTTATTGATTTTCTTCGCCGAGGTGACTTCGAACTTTTAACGATATTGCAAGCGTGACAGCCCATTATACAAATTAGTTCATTGAGCAAACTCCGACCGTTTTATGTGAGTAGCTCAATAAATCTTAGAAGTAGAAAATATAATAGAAAATATAGTAGACAGAGCTTTAAGACCACACCGATTAATACCTTAAACATTTTAACAGGCCAAAATTTGACAAATTTTGTTATCTCGTGACAAAAGACGTCAACAACAACGTATCGAATATCAATTTGATTAGCGCTCGCAAACCCCTTTTTAAAAATTTGGCTTCTGTTATTTCATATTTGAGATGGCTTACGCTATTCAAACCTGTATGAACATTTCAAAACCAAACTACAGGATTCTATTTAGTGTAACCGGCGATAACAGCACACACTGAAATACACCGTGACCACTGTCACATAATTCAATTGCACATGTGTAATTATCCTCATTTGCTTCTCCCTTCTTAATAAAGCAGCGATAACATCGCCTTTTGGATCCGAATTCTGGTCGGTAGGAATAAGAGAAATTTTGTCTGCACACCTGTCTTTATGAAAGTTTCTATTCAGAACTCTAGGGAGTTCTTGTGGAAAAGGACCACGCGATTTTTGAGGAAATAAATTATTACTTTACGTGTGACCTCATTTTTCCAACAATTAGCTATATCTATACTGTAAAGTGCGTAATTATATTAGCTGTAATTCATATTTCTCTTTCGGTACTGGTTTGATTGGGATTAATAACACTAAATTCTTGAAGCGGTATTCGCCAAAAGAAGTCCTGTTTTCAGTCGCGTTCTTCAGAAACTTCGTTAGAAGACTCACGAGGAGTTTCCGGTTTGTTTAACTTGCCTCAGAGTACTGACTCAATAAAGAGTCATCTCTGCTTAATCCATTTGTCAAAAGAGAGTTTCACAGAAGGAGAGCTTATCTTTGCAAGGGCTGGCCTGTTCGATGCAGAAGACTCAGTTATCGCAAAATGTGGGTCTGCGCAAAGCATAGGCACACTTATGGGAAGTTCTGGCGCCAAAGTTCAGCGTGCCAGTATCCGACACACCCTGGTAGCGATTCCAAAGGGCTAAAGAGCCGGTATTCTGTCAATTTGCAAAAGTCAAAGGCCATTTCTAAGATGTATGGTGTTATATAGAGGTTTACACGATACTGCAGCTGAGGGTTTCAAGGATTTTCTCCAAATTATAGACGAATTGGAAAGCGTGGGAGTAGAAAAGGACTAGTGTAAAGAAGTTCGGAAGAGGCTTCAGGAGAGCAAGTTGTATTTGAAGACTACATACCGTAATCACTGCGAAGAGGACGATAGCATATGTGCCGATCACTGTAGGGTCTTTGCACTGAGCTATGCTGGTGACACTGAAGTTCAGAAAGTGTGCAGTCACAGTCACAACGTGAAGTGTGAGGATTGTGAGATGTTGAAGAGTGTTCTTGAAGAAGTAAAAGCCGCTATTTCTGAGTACACAATGCAATTGGGTAGGTTTCAAGCGGAAGACTATCTGTATGAAGCAAAAAATGCTGCCGCTAGGAGCTTTGAATGGAGAGGGTATATCCTGAGAGCAGAAACCAGGATCAGTACGAGCGGCAAATTTTCGATACTTTGGAGGGAGATGAAGCATTTATAATAGTTGACTGGACAATGAAGTTCATAGCGATGAAGTTCCGGGAAAAGCAAGCAGAATGGTTCCCCTAGAGGGAAATCAATTGGCATGTGAGTAGCGCTGTTGTAAGACAGGAGGAAAGCCTGGAAGTAACCTGATACGTAGACCTTCTTAACAGCTGTAAAAAAGACTGGTTTTCAGTGCTGTCAGTCCTAGAAAATCTCTTTGTCACCATAAAGTTAAGAAATTCAGGAATAAAAAAGGCCCTTTATAAGATCGGATAAAGCAGGTTGCTATCACAACAATAAGCTAGTATCAACTCTACGAGGGCTCGGACATCAGTTCCTATCAATGCCCTGAACCTGGTTGCGATGAAGATTTTAAGACGCAGGCCGACCTTGACTTCCATATGAACTAGCTAGTTCATCATGTAAGTCCTGTGCCTGCGAGCATGACTTAAAGTCTTTATGACAAAGTGAAGAGGTAGTGGGTTCATTACTTTCAGTCATTGTCATTAGAGGGTGAAAGTTCGACTGAACTGGTTGCAGTGGCCACAGAACCCTTGACAAGTACATCAAAGCTTCCCATGGGATGGGCTCTTCATAAGAGAGGTGCAAGTGAACGGCTTTCGCAAAACGTCAGGCAGTACTTGAAACAGAAATTTAATATCGGATGAGACACTGGCAGAAACCAAACCCAGAGAAAGTAGCAAAGGATATGCGAACTGCTTGCACAATAGATGGAGAGAGAATGTTCGATAGAACAGAGTGGTTATCCAACATACAGATTCAGGGTTTCTTCTCGAGATTGTGCCTTAAACAGCAATCTAAAATACAACAAGAATCGGATGATGCCACCGACGCAGACGACCACTTGATAGAAGCATCCGCGTCTGATGTAGACGAAGGGTGTTTGAGAGAGGCGAGGAACACAGTAATGGATAAGATAGATTGAAACATCCAATCATGTTTGATATCTATGATGTGTGCTCGTTGGCAAGAGAAGCAAGGTTGTCTAGTCTCAAAGTCAAGATGCTAAGAGACATATGCGAACATTTTGAGCTCGCATTCAAAATGCAAGATACAAATGCAGCACCTCTTGCAAAAATGGAGGAAATGATTTCAGAGTGCAGTTGTTATGCAATCTAGTTATGACGTCCACCCGTTATGCGAATGCGATATCTTTTTTTACAAGAACTCTTCAAACTTATGAACAGAGACTGTTATGCAGACAGATGTGACGACCAAATATCACTTTTTCCCTTTCAGCGAGAAATCGGAGAAATCGCTGCTTTATTTAGACGTGAGAAGTATTCAGGACGATTACACGATGGAATTACGTGACAGAGTCACTAGTCACGGTGAATTTAGTGTGTGCTGTTATCGCCGGTTACACTAAATAGAATCCTGTAGTTTAATTTTGAAATGGTCATACAGGTTTGAATAGCGTAAGCCATCAGAACTGAAATATGAAATAACAGAAGCCAAATTTTTAAAAAAGGGGTTTGCGAGCGCTAATCAAATTATGATATTCGATACGTTGTTGTTGACGTCTTTCGTCACGAGATAACAAAATTTGTCAAATTTTGGCCTTTTAAAATGCTTAAAGTATTAATCGGTGTGGTTTAAAGCTCTGTCCTACTATATTTTCTACTTAAAATGGTTAAAATCTAAGATTTATCGAGCTACTCACATAAAACGGTCGGAGTTTGCTCAATGAACCAATTTGCATAATGGGCTGTCACGCTTGCAATATCGCTAAAAGTTCGAAGTCACCTCGGCGAAGAAAATCAATAAGTGCAAGATATTTTCATATTTTTCTGCAGCCAAACATCTTGTTAGCAGAAATCAAGCGGAGTTTTTAATGGTCTGGTCTGGACTTGAGCAATATCAATCGAGAAAGAAAGAGTACTTTTAACCAATTTCAGAAAGCTGTCCAAAGAGTCTTTTTAAATAAATTATAACGAGCCTCTGAATAAACGAATATGAAATGCATTTTATACACCTTATATATCACACACTTTAAGAATACAAAATATTTTTTGTTGCATGCGGTGTGATACGAGGACCGGGCTATTCAACATTTGAAATTTTCGATGTCGCAAGAGGTCAAAAAAGGGCCTTTTGCAGCTTTGACTTTTGAGAGCTCTAAAAATTTTATTTTGAGGTATTTCCAAAACTAATGTTGTTTTATTTACTTGTTACCAAAAACAGTTTATTGGGCAAAGTTTGAGGGAAGACTTTTTTCCGATGCGAAATGCCCTGGACCGCTCTTACAGAGATCGCCTCTTAATAATCTCTGATGATATTTTAGAGACTAATGGTTGAAAACACTTTTTCATACTCCGATAAAATCCATGATTGTTCCTCCATTTCTAACAAGCTCTTTAATGTAACCACAGTATTCGCCCCTAATACTGACATTGTCTTACTTTTCTTTACTCGACATTGACCATTTTTGTTTTGGTAATCGGCCCCGCCGATTGTGGTTCATGTCAAAAAAAAAAAAAAAATTTGGAAACGAAACATAAACTTCCGTAAACTTTAATTTTTGGTTAAAATTGGAAGTACATTGCATTAGCAGTACAGTTGAATCTCTAAAAAACGCTCACAGGAAAGTGAGATACCTTGAGATAGCAATGACACGATCAAAGCATACTAACCAATTCGTTTGTACTCTTCGACAGGCCCCTTGCATCCTTCACAAATAATATCATCGATCGCCCAAACAATCCCAAGAGAAGACTCGAAGTCGTTTATGCAATCTTTTGCTTTTTGAAAATAACTTCCTTCCACACACCACAGAACAGTTTTAAGACTTTGCCGCTTCCATCTAAGTTACAGAGGGAAAAATCACCAAAAAGGTTTTCTCAAATACTCGATTCATTGTTTTTTTTCCAACGGACTTTCCTGCCTCTTTTCTTCCGCAATTCTTGAGCGGGAAACCGACGTAGGCGCATAGCAGCTGTTTCTCGCTTCAAACTAAAATTTACAGAACATGCGCAGCAAAATTCCATTTTGCTCCGCAAGGTTTTTTCTTTTGCCGCGAGGTTTTTTCTTTTGCCGTGAGTCTTTTTCTTTTAGCCGTGAGGTTTTTTTCTTTTGCAGTGAGGTTTTTTCTTTTGCAGTGAGGTTTTTTCTTTTGCCGTGAGTTTTTTCTTTTTGCCGTGAGGTTTTTTTCTTTTTGCTGTGAGGTTTTTTCTTTTTCCCGAGTCTTTTCTTCTTGCCGTGAGGTTTCTTCTTTTTCCGTGAGTCTTTTTCTTTTTGCCGTGGGGTTTTTTCGTTTTCCATGAGTCTTTTCTTTTTGCCGTGAGGTTTTTTCTTTTGCCGTGAGGTTCTTCATTTGCCGTGACAGTTGTGGGCTATCGTAGATGTATTACAAGAAAAGCCGGGACAAAAAGTCTGAGTCACGCGACGACTAAAGGTTGACTGTCACCTGTGGCCAGGGACCAGAATGGAGTTGTCACTAACATACCCTCCGATCAGTTATGCAATAGCGTAATTTAACATTTGTCTAACTCATTCAGTTAGGTGACAGTTAGGTTACACTCATTGAAAAGGTCATAGACAGGCCTACACAGACTCCCCTGTGTGGTTTTACGTTTGCGACGCAAAAGCCTTTAGTTAAAGCTTCGCTCTGACGAGTATGTCTTTGAGCGATTTACCTCTTTTGTATGATATAATCGGAGGCGTTTTGTAAATTGTTTTCAGCAGTGGCTGATTTTGGATGAGGTTCCATTCTTGCATCAGTATTTTTTTAAAATTTTTTAACCCCTGGGTGGTATGCTGTCACAAAAGGCAATATTTTGCCTTTAGTTTTTTTGGTTTTTTTTAAGTGTCGGCTGCCTTGCGGCAAACGAGACCTCAGATAACGTTTTTTCAATTAGGCTTTTTGGGTAACCACGTGCTTCAAGTCGTGTTTTGAAGTTACACATGGCCTCCTGGAAATTTCTTTCCGAGGAGTTTGTTCTTAGAAGTCTGATAGCTTCTCCTTTAATAAAGCCTTTCTTAACACCTGGCGGGTGGCAAGATGAATAGTGAGTATATTGAAAGGTCTCGGTCGGTTTGTAGACTGATTTTTCAGAGATGACACTGTTGTACTTTTCAACGTTCCCTATCACTGTTGTCTGATAATGATTTTAGTGACATTCCACATGCAGCTAAGACTCACGACTAGCAAAACGGTCAGCAAACTGGGAAGCAAAACGTGTTAAGTGGCGGAACACAACAATCGCTGTAAAGAAGGAAATATTCCTTTTTTTTTTTTTGCGCCGTGTAGAAGTGCTGAGTTGCGAGACTCTGTTCTCTCTGTTCCCTGTTGCCTGTTTCTTTTCACCTGTTACCTGTTCCCTGTCTCCTGTTCCCTGTTTCATGTTCCTTGTTCCCTGTTCTCTGTTTCCTGTTCCCCGTTCCCTGTTGCCTGTTGCCTGTTCGCTGTTCGCTGTTCGCTGTTCCCTGTTCGCTGTTCCCTGTTCCCTGTTCCCTGTTCCCTGTTCCCTGTTCCCTGTTCCCTGTTCCCTATTTTCTGTTCGCTGTTCCCTGTTCCCTGTTCGCTGTTTCCTGTTTCCTGTTTCCTGTTTTCTGTTTCCTGTTTCCTGTTTCCTGTTTCCTGTTTCCTGTTTCCTGTTTCCTGTTTCCTGTTTCCTGTTTCCTGTTTCCTGTTTCCTGTTTCCTGTTTCCTGTTTCCTGTTTCCTGTTTCCTGTTTCCTGTTTCCTGTTTCCTGTTTCCTGTTTCCTGTTCCCTGTTCCCTGTTCCTCGGTCCCTCTTCCCTCGGTCTCTTTTTCCTATTCCCTGCTCTTCGTTACCCGTTCCCTGTTCTTGTTTTCTGTTCTCTTTTTCCAGTTCTCTGTTCCCAGTTCCCTGTTCCCCGCTCACTGTTCCCTGTTCCCTATTTCTTTGTTCTTTGTTGCCTGTTTCCTGTTCCCCGTTCATTTTTTTCTTCCCCGTTCTATATTCCCTGTTCCACATTTACCGATCCTTATTCTCTCAATTTTTATTTCCTAAGTTTGAAGTAAATAAAACTAGACGAACAGAAAGGCAAACTTCACCCTCTTCTCCTTGGTGTAGGACTTTAATGCCGAAGTCTTGAGCTTTATCCAATTTCCACGCTCGACATTCGCATCCCCTTGCGCGAGAAAATGGAGCCTGTTTCATATATTTTCGTCGACTTTTATTTCTGTTAGTTTATTGCTAATACAATTCTACCCATTTCCTATTTTTTTTTATTTCATACATGCATAAGTGTTAATTATCTTTAGATTATGTAATTATGCTGAGATTACCAGTCTTCATCATAAATGTGATTGGTTTTAAAAATTCACATTTTTCCTACAATTTACTTGCCAAGTTGTTATCGGACAGTTTGTTATGGGACAGTTCAATAAGCCAATCACGTCCAAAGTTGTAGTTTAAATCAACCAATCACATTCAAAGATGTAGTTTAAATCAACCGATTACAGCCTCGGTTTCAATTATCATAGAAACACCAATTCTTTTGTCAGTCTTTTAATGCAAATTTTCTCTTTCTTTTATAACTTGACTATACTTCTTGCAAACTGTAACTTTTGTAATTAATTGGTAATAAGACTTCGTGGAGTCCAATTCGGTCTGTAATCATACTCATGATAACAAAGTATGGATCCAGACCGAATTGGACTTCACTTAGTCCTATTACCATTACCAATTAAGATAAATAAGTAAATAACTTAGCTAATCACATCCTTTTTTTCTGATGTTGTGTATATTCAAATTGATAAAGAGCGGCCATCTAGCTCATTTACAAATCCTTTAGCTGTTAACCCTTTGAACTCTAAGATTGACTTACATCTAATTTTTCCTTACAGTATCACCCCTGAATAAAACAAAAAGGTCACGAAAATAAAGGAAATGATCATCAACTTAAGAACCCTTGATTGTTTAACAAATTCTCCTTGTCAAACCCATTGGAAATAAATCGAGAACAGTATGGAGGAAATGCATATTAACTTTATGATATTTACAAAATATGGTAACGTTGAATTGCACAATCTGATTGAAATTGCAATCACAATGTCTAACGTGTTTATATTTACTTCTTTGACAAAAACGGAATCCAGCGAACCTATACAAAACGTGAAGCGAATCAAGGCAAAGCGATAGAAACGATCAAAGCGAAACAAAGTGGTGAAGAGCGGCTTTGACATAATCACAGACAAAAAAGCGTGAACTCAAATTAAACAGACTCAAACTAAACCTGAACTGACGCAGAACTAAATACAAACCCAAATGAACAAAATGCAAAACGAAACCGTACACATGAAACGTACAAAGGAAGCACGTTTAATAATAAATGATCCTTAACGTAATCTGATTAATTCAATTTTCCTCCTTTTTTTCTTTCCTTTTTTTAAATTTAATGCAGAGGTTGGAGAGTTTCAAGCAGACTTCCTATCAAAAACTACCTTCACTGAACCTTTGTGAAAGGTTATTTCTCCCACACTTGTTAAATTCAATTTTGTGGGTTAAGCTCACGAAGGGGAATGTTCTCAACCTGTCTGTGTGGCTGAGGTCGTTGGCGACATAACATCTTTAGAGCTCGCCTAAAACCTGGCATTCTTATGGTATACCATATCGGATTTAAAAAAGAGTTTGCGTAAAGCAAGACGGTTGAAACACGATACAAACGGAAAAGGGCTATTTCAGATAATGAACTTGGAATGTTAGTGGAAAAAAATAGAAAAGCAATTATCATATGAGGCAGCCAAAATAGGAGAGAGAGAGAAGTCACAGTGAACAACGTCACGGTCAGTTTTCTTTCCCAATTTGCCGCGCCATGGTGTCGAGGCTGATTTCCAAAGCGAAGTTTGACAAAAATAAAAACGTAAGCAACACAAATGACCAAAAGGCAAGTTGAGACGAATGAACTATAAGTGTAGAAATAAAAGTCCCATTCACGTATATAGTGATAAATCATTTCTAATGCATATGAAAAGAGTAGTGTTATCAACCAGATGGCGATTATAAGAACCCAATAGACTGACTTTTTGATCGTACGATGTCTCAAAGGCCAAAACGTTGCATTCAGGCGTTCTAGAGAAATAACAGCCATATTTGTTAATGAACAAACGAGAAACCAGGTGACTAAGACACCTGGTATCTGATACCAATGCTTTATATTGTACCTCCAGAAGTTGCATAACGCTCCAACGGTATAGAAGAGGGCGAGTGTAGAAGTTCCCCCGGATAACATGTCTGCAACTGCCAAGCTTATCATCAAGTATGTGGATCGTTTACGAAGATTACGGTCTCTACCAAATGCAATCACTGTCAAATAATTCAGAGCTATTATAGTGACAGATTCAGTCAGGCCCACAACCATCCAAGTTATACACTCCGGTGAAGAAGCCATCCGAGAAGTCTTTTCCTGTTCCAAATAATTGAGAAATATTAAAGTATTTCCGACAATGATTTGATAACAGAGTACTTAATTTTGGTATCCCTTGAGGCAAAAAAAGTTTACCCACGGTCTTACATCCCTCCTTCGATATGTTTTGGTAAATGTTAGCTACGTCCTTTTAAAAAACCCCTCTCCGATATGAAGACGACTTTTGTTTCCTTACCGGTCGTGCAGAGCAACTAGTTCCTATAGCTGCTTAAGAAGGCCATTAAACTCCTAGGTTGTTTCAAAGAGATTTCGAACTCTTTTTACGAGTGACGAATCAGTGAATATTGAGCTCGTAACTTTCCGTTCGCGTAAGCTCGTTATTGCAAAAGAAAACTAACATTCTGACCCCAAAGTTCAGCTATTCCTCACTCAAATTGAAACAATTATTTTCTATTTAAAAAGATTGTAGTTGATAGGTCTTAATCTCTTTTTATTTGATTTTGTTTCATATTTCAATTCCTGCTCGAAAAACGCCTTTTCATGCATTTGTTCATGTTGTCGTGTTGCACGGAATTGAGCGCTTATTACAGAAATAGAACTTTTTCGAATTCACAGGCTACTTTACACTCTTTCTCAGAAAGATGCGAGACATGCCACATGGCCTGTTACCCTTCAACGGCGCACCGTAATATATTTCCTACAAACATGACATGCATGAACCAATCAGATATGTCTTAGATCATTTAGATGAACGACAGCTCATTTGGTACGGTTCAAAGGTTCCCAGAGAGAGAGAGAGAATCATGCGAATTGAACTTTACGCCCCCATTGCTTGTTTTTGTAATAATTGGACGCTTTTTCTCATCTTTAGCTTTTCCGCCGACGCAGTCTACGACTTTTTCATGGACGGTGGATCCTATTTTTTTCATTCATTGATAAAGTCGACTGTACTTTCCGGTAAAGACCTATTGCGTTTAGATGATAAACAAAATAATAATGGTCACTTGTAGATTCGGAAATTTCTCTTGTGTTCGACTCGACGGCTCACGAGTAGACACAGCGAGCTCAGCGTGAACTCCTGAGACATCGAGCTGAACAAAGAGAAATCCTATGTCTGCGCCCGCCATGTATTATTCACTAACTGTCTTGAATTCACAAGTGAAGACTGATAATTTATTCAGATGGGATGCATAATTGATAACTAGCGTTGGAAATAAAACACCAACACTTCAAAGATGTTCCTTTGTCTTTTTGTTTCTATTTCGCTTGTTTTGCTATCATTACTAAAGTTATTATTATAGTCATGACTGTTTCCGTGTGCAGTCTTGGACTGCTCACGGAAATTCTGGAATCCACTTCTCTTATGTACTTTGGGAGACAACAAACTTTTCCAAAAATAGTGAATAAATAAAGAAAAAGCGAAAAAAAAAAGAAACTGATAAGAAACACAAATTAAGAACAAGGACAAAGAACCGACCTAAGACTGAGAACACCACTTGACTTGACTGAAGGACAGAACCTCTCATCTTTCCGAAGACCCGATTTATGCTGATGTACTTTTGTTAAGAAAATAATCTTCGAAGCCAACATTATCGCAAATAATTTTCTTGAAAGCTTCCTCAGGTTCTTTATAATCTTTAGGCGATAAAACTCAGAATCGAACAAGGCGTTTGCATGGCAAATTGGCATTTTGTAAGCTGTGCGCAGCTTTTCAATAAGGAAAAAGTCGATGGTTACCTGAATAACAATCTTTCTTCATATGTATGAAACGGAAAGGTTTTTATTCTTTGTTTCTTACTAAATAATTTATATGGTTTTTGTAGTGTTAATATAAGACGCGGTAAGTTCAGGCGTTTTCTGCATTAAATGAACAGGAACATCCGAATGTCTTGACTGCACACGGAAATTCTAGAATCCACTCTTCTAGTGCACTTTAGGAGACAGAAAACTTTACAAAAATAGTAAAAAAATGAGGAAAAAGAAAGAAAAAAAAAAGAGACTGATAAGAAATTCAAAATAAGTACAAGAACAAACAAGCGACTTAAGGTGACTGGGGACACCACGTGACTTAACTGAAGTGACCGAACCTCTAACCCTTCCGACAACCCGATTTCTGCTGATGTACTTTCGGTGCCAGGCTCTGGCTCTCTTTTCTCCGCCCTACTTTCTACGTTTCCCGTTCTTTATTTTCTGCTCTCCGTTCTCTGTTCACCGTTCCCTTTCACCGTTGCCTGATAATGCTTTTAGTGACATTGCACACGCAAATGACCCTACGTGCAATTCCCTCTGTACAAGCTTTCATGTACACAGCTTGAACTTTAAAAAAAAAACTTCGTAATACATCTCTTTCTCAGATGCAGGAAAACCTCAGGATCACCTTTCGGATGATCTGCCGCAAGTTGTAGTTCGTGCAATTTATGGTCTTTGAAAAATGAAACAAGTGCTTATTACGCCTAATTGCATGTGAAATCATGTTATTACATGTTAATAATCAGATAATTAAACAGATGGCGTGACAGTTCAGCTCCGTGTTTTGTACTCTGATAAGGCACGCTCTTTCAACTGATGACAGCGTGCGCTAGTTCCGAACTTAGTAATAATTAATCATAGTTTTAGGCAACAAATCAGTTATTTACCGCGGCCAAAATTTATCCCACACACACTTGGCTGGTTTCTATTATTTTGTTACCGTTCACCGAAAAATCGACTAAAATATCGATATAGGCATAATTTCTCTCTCTATTCCCCTTTTCTCGTTCTCCACTCCCCGTCACCTATAAACTGTTCCCCGTTCCTTGTCTCCCTTTCTCTGTTCCCTGTTCCCTGTTCCCTGTTCCTAGGTCCCTATTTCCTGTTCCCTGTTCCTCGGTCCCTCTTCCCTTGGACTCTTTTTCCTGTTCCCTGTTACCCGTTACTGTTTCCCGTTCCCTATTCTCTGTTCTCTGTTTCCCGTTCTCCGTTCCCTGTTCCCGGCTCCCTGTTCCCTGTTTTCAGTCTTTTAATGCAAATTTTCTCTTTCTTTCAAAACTTGGCTATACTTCTCTTCTCGCAAATTGTACTTTTTGGAGTTTATTGGTAATAAGACTTCGTGGAGTCCAATTTGGTCTGTAATCATACTCTTTAATCATACTCTAATTAAGATAGATAACTAAATAACTTAGCTTATCACATCCTTTTTTTCTGATGTTGTATATATTCAAATTGATAAAGAGCGGTCATCTAGCTCATCTACAAATCCTTTAGCTGTGATTGCAAACCGAATTGGACTCCACTCAGTCCTATTACTATTACTAATTAAGAAAGATAAGTAAATAACTTAGCCAACAACATCCTTTTTTTTCTGATTTTGTTTATATACAAATTGATAAAGAGCGGTCATCTAGCTCATCTACAAATCCTTTAGCTGTGATTGCAAACCGAATTGGACTCCACTCAGTCCTATTACTCTTACTAATTAAGAAAGATAAGTAAATAACTTAGCCAACAACATCCTTTTTTTTCTGATTTTGTTTATATACAAATTGATAAAGAGCGGTCATCTAGCTCATCTACAAATCCTTTAGCTATTAACCCTTTGAACTCTAAGATTGACTTACATCTAATTTCTCCTTACAGTATCAACCCTGAATAAAACAAAAAGGTCACGAGAATAAAGGAAATGATCATCAACTTAAGAACCCTTGATTGTTTAACAAATAGAGAAGCTTTGACTGTGCTCTGTTCTATTATAAAGCACGCACGAAGCTATTTGTTTTATAATAAAGAATCCGTTAAATTCCCCATACAAACTTTATTTCCGAAGCGAACAACAGATCGTCGTCATGCTCTACACTCTAATAAAGCACGTTACGATAAGCCAATCAGAATCCCTGATAGAACAGTTCAAATAATCTAATTGGCTGTACAAGACTAAAGCTGTCAAAAATGTCAAACCATCAAAGTTCACATTCTACGATAGTTTACAAACTTAAATAGTTCAGCAGGTCAAATTTAACACTTTTGCCTAAAGGTTTTTAGTCTCTAATACAGAATCTGAAAGTGAAATGTTCAGTGAACTTCAGCCGAATTGTGGCTGATAAAAACGCAGAAGTTTTTTCACATGACAAGTAGAAAACAAACTGTTCAAGACGAGTGTTTTATGATTGGACGACAGCCGAATTCATCGGAACATGATGATTCCTCGGAATGACAGCGCCGTAAAACTCGGCTGCAGGGACTGATGTGACCTTCCTCTCTACGCATCGGAAAGGATATCAGAGCAAGCTCTTATTTTTACACTCGAAGGGCGGCCGATGTAGTTTCTGGGGCGTCACCGCGACGACCGGAGATCGCCATGATGAGCTAGCCGTGATGGCCCTTAGCATGATCGCAGTCGCTCTGACACCGTTATGATTAGTGTGAATTTTAACAGTTAGGCCAGTTTGGTTATATTTTTCATCATTCCTGTTTTGTTCTGTTTTGTTTTTGAACACAAAACTTTATATACTATACGATTGTTAGCTGTCTTTGATTTTTGTTATCGTACGTAAGCTTGAAATCTAACTGACCTTGAAAACCTTTAAAACTCGGAATTTCCATTTTGTTTTCTCTTTGAGGATTTTCGTCTCTGCTCACGTTTTAATAACGTAAATTACTTCGCCTAGCATGTTTACAAACCTTTGTTTGGTTCTTCTGCTGCTACTTGCCGGCTTTCTTGTTCCGAAATTTCACTTTCAATTATCGAAAAAAAACCAGGGAGACGTCCCGGAGAAGGTCGGACATAGTACAATTTGGCAGATGACGTAACAGCCTTAGCAATCAAAGGGAAACAAAGTGGTAAAAAACGGCTTTGACAAAATAACGCAAGAAAAAGCTTGAACTCAACTTAAACAGACGTTTTTTTTCCTCCCAAATGTTAAAAATCGTGAAGAAAATATTAAGAGGTCCATGAATGCTCTCCGACTAAATCTTGCTATTAAAGAATTATCGTAAAACATCTTCATAGGAGCATTTGAGAAAGATGTTTTCCTAAAAAAACTCTACATAGGCTTATAACAAGTACAGCACGAATTTGACGCAAAGCGGTTCTCATTTTTTTTCCCGAAGATCTCAGTTGTAGCTGCCAATTTGTTTCGCTTTTTCAAGTAGTACATTTTATTTCTTTAAAGCCGGCAATGAAAACTGGGTTTCCCTTAAATCTTATGTCACCCGAGCGAGGTTTTAAGTTATTTTCAGAACTCAAACTGACTCGAATGAATCGACCCAATTTAGGTTTATTAGACAACCTTCCCTTACCAGAAACTCACTTTACCGTCAGTTCTACCTAGAATTTAAGGTGACCTCCGTTTTAGAAACATTGAAGAAGGCTAAGAGCAATTTGTTCAGAAAATAATATTTAAAGCCTACCTTGTCTCCTACTCTTGCCTTTCTTAAAAGTCTCCTCTGGTTCTTTATAATCTTCCGCCAACGAAACTCAGATTCGAACAAGGCGTTTGAACGGCAAAATAGGCAATTTATGAGCTGTGCGCAGCTGTTTAATAAGGAAATAGTCGATCGAGAGCTGAATAATGATTAAGAATTAAGAATGCCTGTCTCTAGCATACCCTCCGATCGGTTAGGCAATAGCGTCGTTTAACATTTGTTGAACCTACTCAATTAGGTGACAGATATGTTACACTAACGTGATTTCCTGCAGTTTTCCATAGAAAGGAGCAATAAAGACGCTCTAAAGAATTTTGTATGATTCTGTCAATTTCTTTTTTTTTCCGTGTGCAGTCTTGGACTGCACACGGAAATTCTGGAATCCACTTCTCTTATATACTTTAGGAGACATAACAAACTTTTCCAAAAATAGTGAATAAATAAAGAAAATTAGAAAAAAAAAGAGAGACTGAAAAGAAAAACAAAAATAAGAACAAGGACAAACAAACGACTAAAGGTGACTGAGGACATCACGTGACTTGACTGAAGGACCGAACCTCTCATCTTTCCGAGGACCCGATTTGTGCTGATGTACTTTTGTTGCGAAAATAATCCTCAAAGCCAACCTTACCTCAATTAACTTTCTTGAAAGCTTCCTCAGGTTCTTTATAATCTTCCGGCGATAAAACTCAGAATCGAACAAGGCGTTTGCATGGCAAAATTGCATTTTGAAAGCTGTGAGCAGCTGTTCAATAATTAAGGAAAAATTCGAGCGTGAGCTGATTAATAATCTTTTTTCATACGTATGAAACGGAAAGGTTTTTATTCTTTGTTTCTTATTAAAAGATATGCAAAAGTTCCATTGAACAAGTTAAAAATAGAAATGTGTTTTTCGGTATGAACTAGTAGTACTTTGAGTGGTGTTTCTGGTGTTAATTTAAGACGCGGTAAGTTCAGGCGTTTTCTGCATTAAATTAACACAACATCCTGCTCAGGGAAATTCTGGAATCCACTTCTATAATGCACTTTAGGAGACATAATAAACTTTAGAAAAATAGTAAATAAATTAAGAAAAAGAGAGAAAAAAAGAGACTGATAAGAAATTCAAAATAAAAACAAGAACTAACAAGCGAGCAAAGGTGACTGAGAACACCATGTGACGTGACTGAAGTGACCGAACCTCTCACCTTTCCAACGACCCGATTTCTGCCGATATAATTTCGGTGCCAGGCTCTGGCTCTCCTTCCTCCGCTCTACGTTCTTCGTTCCCCGTTCTTTACCGTTCCCAGTTCACCGTTTCTTTTCACTGTTGCCTGATAATGCTTTTAGTGACATTCCACATGCAGCTAAGACTCACCACTAGCAAAGCGGTCAGCAAACTGGAAAGCAAAACGTGCCAAGTGGCGGAATACAACAATCGCTGTAAAGAGGGAAAAATTATTATCTTCTTGTACCGTGTAGAGGTGCTGAGTTGTGAGACTTGTCGCTACTTTGTCGTAGCGCTTGAACTAAAAAACAAAACAAAAACAAACAAACAAAAAAAACAACAACAAAAAAAACTCGTTAATCATCCAAACAACTTCAAAGCAAATCAAAATTACCACGGTTTGTTGATTTATTAAACAAAATATCATAGTTTTTACTAATGACCCCAAGTGCATTCCTCTCTGTACAGGTCTACATGTCTATAGCTTAAACTTTGCAAAATGATATGCCGCAAGTTTTGGTTTGTGCAATTTATAGTCTTTGAAAAATAAAACAAGTGCTTATTACGCCTAATTGCATGTGAAATCGTGTTATTACATGTTAATAATGTACATGAAAAGAGTCTGGGAAATGATCGGACATAGTGCAATTAGGCAGATGGCGTGACAGCTCAGCTCCGTGTTTTGTACTCTGATAAGGCAAGCTCTTATAACCAGTGACAGCGTGCGCTAGATCCGAACTTAATAATAATTATTCATATTTTTAGGCAACAAATCAGTTATTTACCCAGCCAAAATTATCCCACCCAAACTTGGCTGGTTTCTACAATTTTCCCTGGTCCCTGTTTCCTGTTCTCTGCTCTCTGTTCCCCGTTCTCTATTCCCTGTTCCCCGCTCCCTGTTCCCTGTTCTCTGTTCCCTGTTCCCTGTTCTCTGTTCCCTGTTCCCTGTTCCTGTTCCCTGTTCCCTGTTCCCTGTTCCCTGTTCCCTGTTCCCTGTTCCCTGTTCCCTGTTCCCTGTTCCCTGTTCCCTGTTCCCTGTTCCCTGTTCCCTGTTCCCTGTTTTCTATTTTCTGTTTTCTGTTTTCTGTTTCCTTTTCCTTGCTCCACGTTCTTTACTTCTCTTCCCCGTTCTCTGTTCCCTGTTTTCCGTTCATCGATCCTTATTCCCTCGTTTTTTATTCCCTTAGTTTGAGGTAAATAAAGCGAGACAAACAGATAGGCAAACTCCGCCCTCTTTTCGTAGGCGTAGGACTTCATTGCTGGACTCTTATTGTTTTATCCAACTCCCACGCTCGACATTTGCATCCCTTCGACAGAGAAAATGGAGCCTGTTTCATATTTATTAGTCGACTTTTATTTATGTCAGTTTATTTCTGATACAAATCTACCCATATTTTTTTTATTATTTCATACACGCATCGATGTTGATTATCTTTAAATTATGCATTTGTGCTGGGAGTATCAGTCTTAATCATAAAAATTACAATTTCTTCGATTGTGATCGGTTCGAAAAACTCACGTTTTCCATTAATTTACTTGCCGTACAATTTGTTATGGGACAGTTCAATAAGCCAATCACATCCGAAGTTGTAGTTTAAATGAACCAATCACATTCAAAACTGCAATTTAAATCAACCGATCACAGCCTCGGTTTCAATCACCATAGAAACTCTAATTCCTTCGTCAGTCCTTTAAGGAAGTTTTTCTCTTTCCTAAGATAACTTAGCTATACTTCTCTTCTCGCAAATTGTACTTTTCATAATTAATTGGTAATAGGACTTCGTGGAGTCCAATTCGGTCTTTAATCATACTCTTGGTAACAAAGTAAGATTGCAGACCGAATCGGACCCCACTCAGTCCTATTACCATTACTAATTGAGATAAATAACTAAATAACTTAGCTAATCACATCCTTTCTTTCTGATGTTGTGTATATTCAAATTGATAAAGAGCGGTCATCTAGCTCATCTACAAATCCTTTAGCTGTTAACCCTTTGAACCCTAAGATTGACTTACATCTAATTTCTCCTTACAGTATCACCCCTGAATAAAACAAAAAGGTCACGAGAATAAAGGAAATGATCATTAACTTAAGAACCCTTGATTGTCTAATTCTCCTTGTCAAAACCATTGGAAATATATCGAGAACAGTATAGAGGAAATGCATATTAACTTTAGAATCTACAGCGTTAAGCTATTTTGTAATGACAAGCTATTACATTAATGTTTATTTACAAAATAAATAATGTGAAATTGCACAGTATGATTAAAGTAGTAGTCACAATGTCTAACGTGCTTATATTTATGTCTTTGACAAAAACGGAATCCAGCGCATCTAGACAAAACATGAAGCGAATCAAAGCGAAGAATAGAAACGATCAAAGCGAAACAAAGTAGTAAAAAACGACTGTGACATAATCGCGCAGGAAAAGGCCTGAACTCAATTCAATTAGACACAAACTAAATCTAAAGTAATGGAAATAATCAAACAAACCCAAATTAACAAAATGCAAAACGACACCTTACACATGAAACAAAGGAAACATACAGTATATCTAATTAAAAAAGAGCTTTGAAGACGCGAAAACGATACTAAGCAAAAACGAAAACCACGAACAAACTACGTCATAACGTGTAATCCTGGCGCCTACAAAAGTTGCTGTTGTTGTTGATATTGCATGACGTAGGCGACCAGGCCCGACAGTCCTTGTCGCTATCGATAACTCGAGACCACACGGGGGATCTTGTTCAATATCCACCAGCGTATATAGAGATTAGGGGGATTAAATCTGTCTGGGGAGCTTTACTCTTTGTGACGGTGATTGACTTTCCTACAACCTGGAAAGGAGTCGTCAAAGTAAAATGACTTCAACTCCGGTTAAAGTAAAAAGCGTCGGATAGTCTTAAAGACTCCACTCCTTTTCTAGACTACTCTTAACCGTACGATAATTCATCGCTTAGATGAGATTGCCAAGAGACCGAAACAGAGGTTGTAATAATGATCAAAGTTTTCATAGACAACGAGGAAATATAGTAAATTCGAAAGAGAACGAGCCTAAGGAACAGGTCATTAGAGGTCAGTTTCCCCTTTAGAATCTGTTGATGACGTCTGATCCTCCCTCCTTTTCCCCTGACTACCACATGATTCCCCCAAAAACTCCTCTCCCCCCTCCCCTTAACAAGGCGATAAGTAATGAATGATCCCTAACTTAATCTGATTAATTCAATTTTCCCAATTTTTTTTCTTTGCCTATTTTTGGAGTTTAATGCAGAGCTTGGAGAGTTCAAAGCAAACTTCCTATCAAAAACTACCTTCACAAAACCTTTTTGAATGGTCATTTCGCCCACACAAGTTAAATTCAAATTTGTGGGTCAATCTCACGAAGGGGAATGATCTGAACCTGTCTGTGTGGCTGAGGTCGTTGGCGACATAATATCTTTAAAGCTTGCCTAAAACCTGGCATTCTCATAATATACAGTATCGGATTTAAAAAAGAGTTTGCGTAGAGCAAGACAATTGAACCACGTTCCACGCGAAAAAACGCTATTTTAGACGATGAACTTAAAATGTCAGTAGCAAAATTCAGAAAACTAACTAGAACATAAGACATCCACAATAGGAGAGAGAGAGAAGTCACGGTGAACAAGGTAACGGTCAATTTCCTTTCTCTATTTGCCGCACCATGGTTTCGAGGCCGATTTCCAAAGCGAAGCTTGACAAAAATAAAAACATAAGAGACACAAATGACCAAAAGACAAATTGAGACGAATGAACCCCAGGCGTAGAAATAATAATTCTGTTCATGTGCATAGTGATAATTTATTATTAACGCACATGGGATGAGTAGTGCTGTTAACCAGATGGCGATGATAAGAACCCAGTAGACTGAATTTTTCATCGTACGATGTCTGAAGGGCAAAAACGTTGCATTCAGGCGTTCTAGAGAAATAACAGTCATATTTGTTAACGAACAGATGACAAACCAGAAGAGCGTGACATGTATGTACCAATGCTCTATATTGTACCTCCAGGAGTTACATATCGTTCCAACATCATAGAAGAGGTCGAGTGCAGAACTTCCCCCAGATAACATGTCTGCAACTGCCAAGCTTATCACCAAGTAGGTGGATTGTTTACGAAGATTACGGTCTCTACAAAATGCAATCACTGTCAACGAATTCAGAGCTATTATGGTGACAGATTCAGTCAGGCCCACAACCATCCAGGTTATACACTCAGGTGAAGAAGCCATCGGAGTAGTCTTTTCCTGTTCCAAATAATTGAGAAATATTAAGGTATTTCCGACAATGATTTTGACCACAGAGTACTGCGAAGGAGACTAGACTGACGTAACCTCCACACTTAATTTCGATACCCCTTGAGGCAACGAAGTTTGCCCATGGTCTTACATCCCTCCTTCGGTACGTTTTCGTAAATGTTAGCTACGTCCTTTTAAAAAACCCCTCTCCGATATGAAGACGACCTTTGTTTCTCTTCTGGTCGTGCACGACAACTAGTTCCTATAGCTGCTTAAGACAGCTATCAAACTTCTTTAGGCCGTTTCAAAGAGATTTTGAACACGTTTTACGATTCACGAATCAGTGAATATTGAACTCGTAACTTTCCGTTCGCGAAGGCTCATTACTGCAAAAGAAAACGAACATTCTGACCCCAAAGTTCGCCTGTTCCTCACTCAAATTAATATAATAATTTTTCCAAAAAAAAAATAAAGAAAGAAAAATTAGTTGATAGGTTTTAATTATTTTATTTTATTTTATTTTGTTCTATTTTTTAAATTCTTGCTCGGAAAACGCTTTTTCATGCTTTTGTTCATTTTGTAGTGTCGCATAGAATTGACCGCTTTTTACAGAAATATAACTTTGTTGAATTCACGTGCTACTTTCCACACTTTCTTAGAGAGATTCGTGACATGCCGCATAGACTGTTACCCTTCAAAGACGTTTTTGTAATGATTGAACGCTTTTTCCCATCTTTAGCCTTCTGGTTGACGCAATTTACGACTTTCTTCTTGAATGGTGGATCCAATTTTTTTCATTCATTAATAAAGTCGACTTTACTTGCTGGTAAAGACCTATTGTGTTTAGATGATAAACAAAATAATAATGGTCGCTGGTACATTCGGAATTTCTCTTCTCATGCTTAACTCGACGTTCACGAGTAAGCGCAGCGATCTCAATGCGAACTCGTAAGACATCGAGCTGAACACGAAAAGAGAAATCCTATTTCTGCGCCCACCATGTATTATTCACTAATTATCTTGAATATTCAAGGAATTTATTCAGATGTATAATTGATAATTAGCGTTGGAAGTAAAACGCCAACACTTCAAAGTTGTTTCCTTGTCTTTTTGTTTCTATTTCGCTTGTTTTGCTATCATTATTAAAGTTATCATGACTATTATTCTTGTAATCATGGTTATCATCATTGCGATCATAGTTCAAAATTGGTCCGCAGAAAAGTTCGAATAATTTGTTTTTCCATTTCAATTGGATCTGCATATCAGATATCAGCGCCACCTAATGTCGTATTTTTCACTTACTAATTAGTTTCTTAGGCAGATATGGATGATTTCTGTAAGTTATAACTCGGAAGCTGGCAATAGATTATGGGTTTCCTCCTAATCACCGTCGTTGTTATTTTCACATTTGGACGTTCTTAGTACTACTGTATTTCTTTTATTTGTGAGTTTAATTTTTTTTGTTTTGTTCTCCTTTCTAATTTTTTTTTTTCGCCAGATGTATTTCAAGTAGTCTTCTTTCACTTCCTCCTCTCTTTTTTACCAATTAAGAATAAATTAAAAATTTTAATAAAGAAAAAAATTGGCTGTGTATTCGTGCTTTGCAGCAGAGGCACAACTCAAAAGGGGAACGTGGGCGTAGAAAATGTTTTCTTAAAAATTTTTTACCAAGGCTAACAACAAGAAAAATTGCCTTACGTCACGCGATTTTCAAAAAATTAATACTCTCTATCTTAAATTCTTTTCCGTTCAAGATATCAGCTGCACTTGCCAAATTACTCCGCTCGTTTAGCATTTTTTTTTAAATTTTATTTCTGATATGTTCTTGCCATGGAAGACGTTTTTTTTCCTTTCAAATGTTAAAAGTCGTGAATTAAAAACGTAATAACGATAATAATAATAACAAGGGGGAAAAGGTTAAGGAGTCCATGGATGCGCTCCGACTAAGTCTTGTTATTAACGAATTCTCGTAACACATCTTCATAGGTACATGTGAGAGTATGAGAAAGATATAAAAAAAAAAAAACTCTACATAGGCTTATAACAAGTACAGCATATCAAACGAATTTGACACAAAACGGTTCTCATTTTTTGCCTTCAGTCATGGTATCATACAAACAAGTGTCGAATATTTAAAACTTTTTCTCTTTGTCACACATTTTACCTCGATCACCCGAAGATATCAGTTGTAGCTGCCAATTTACTCCGCTTTTTCATGTAGTTTTTCCTTGTCATTTTCAATATATTCATGCGAAAGAGGACGTTGATCTGTACATTTTATTTCTTTAAAGCCGGCGATAAAAATTGGGTTTCACTTCAATCTTATGTCACTTGAATGAGGATTTAAATTAATAATTCAAACTGCCTGAGATAAATCGACCTAATTAAGGTGTATTGAACAACCTTCTTTAATCAGAAACTCACTTTACCGTAAGTTCTCCCCAGAATTTAGGGTGACCTCCGTTTCAGAAACATTGAAAATGGCTAAGAGCAATTTGTCAAGAAAATAATCTTTAAAGCCTACCTTGTCTCCGGTAACTCTCTTAAAAGTCTCCTCAGGTTCTTTATAATCTTCCGCCGATGAAACTCAGAATCGTACAAGGCGTTTGCATGGCAACATTGGCATTTTATGAGCTGTACGCAGCTGTTTAATAACGAAATAGTCGATCGCGAGCTGAATGATAATTAAGAATTAAGAATTCCTGTCTCTACCATTTTGTTTGATTCTGTCAACTTCATTTAGTAAACAGTTTTATTACAGAGAAAGATGTTTTTCGTCTTGTTGCGAGCGTTAGACAAATAAAAAATTCTGAGTCCCCGTTTACTGACTCAAAACTTACCACCTTTTTTATTCTAATGAAATTAATTTTAGTTATCCTGTATTCATTATTGGTAAAAGTTGCATTGAACAAGTTAACAGTATAAATGTGTTTTTCGATATAAACTTATTGTCCTTTCCAAGTTTACTTGGTGCTAATTTATGACGCGGTAGCTTCAGGCGTTTTCGCTATAAATTAATCCAACTGTCTTGCACTGCCCATGATAAAATTATTATCATTATCATTATCGTTATTATTTTTACTGTTCATCGCCAGAAAGTCGAATCGACATGCGCAGTTAAAACGAGACGCATGGAGTTGACCGCTCATTGCAGAAAGAAAACTTTTTGGAATTCACAAGCTACTTTCTGCTCTTTCTCAGAGAGATGCGAGACATACCACATAGCCTTTTACCTTTCGACGACGCGCTGCAAAATATTTCATACAAACATGACATGCGTGAATTAATCAGATATGTCTTAGATCATTTAGAGGAATGCTCATTTGGTATGGTTCAAAGGTTCCCAGAGAGAGAATTATGTGAATTGAAATTTACGCCTGCTGCTTTTTTTTTTGCAATGATTCAACGCTTTTCCTCATCTGTAGCCTTATCGCCGACGCAATTACGACTTTTTTATTGGATGGAAGATCCTATTTTTTTCATTCGTTAATAACGTCGACTTTACTTGTAGGTAAAGACCTATCGTGTTTAGATAATAGACAAAATAAGACATGGTCGCTTGAAGATTTGGAATTTGTCTTCTCGTGTTCAGCTCGAGCGCACCGAGCTTAGTGCGAGCTCGTGAGACATCGAGCTGAACACACGAAAAGAAATCCTATGTCTGCGCCCGCCATGTATTTTTCACTATTTCTCTTGAATACACTAGTAAAGACTGACAATTTATTCAGATAGGATGCATAATTAACAACTAGCGTTGGAAATAAAACGCCAACACTTCAAAGATGTTCCTTTGTCTTTTTGTTATTATTATAGTCATGATTAATTTAATAATGATCAATATAATATTGATGAATATCATTAGTATGATTATTATTCTTGTATTCATGTTTATCATCATTTCTATCATAGTTCAGAATTGGTCCGCAGAAAAAGTTCAAATTATTTGTTTGTCCACTTCCCTTGGATCTGCATACCAGATATCAGCACCTCTTTTTCATGTACTAATTAGTTTTCTTAACTATTCTCCGCAGGTCATTAACCTGAAGCTGACAATGGATTATGGGCTTCCTTCAAGTCTCTGTCGTCGGTCTTTTCGAATTTGAGCGTTCTTAGTACTAATGCGTTTCGTTTACCTATGCTTTGAACTTTTGTTTTTGTTTTATTGTCCTTTCCAATTTTTTTATTCTTATTTTTATTTTTTTCATTTGGCAAGAGGTATTTAAAGTAGTCTTCTTTAATTTTTCCATCTCTTTTTTACCAAGTGAGAGTAAATGATAAAATTGAAATGGAAGAAAAATTAGGCTGCACATTCTTGCTTTCCAACAGATGCGTATCTCTATAAAGGTGAACGTGGACGTAGAGATATGTTTTGTTAAGACTTTTTACAAAGGCTAATAACAAAAAAAGCATATCAAACGAATTTTTTACAAAACAGTTATCATTCACCCCCCGTGCGTCAATAAGATGACGGGAGCATTTTTTTTTTTTTAACCTGGCTTCAGAGTTTCCGTCCTGCTAAGCTGCGGTGCAGTTTTCCTTCTCTTTGACATATGGAAGAAACCAGCGAAGGACTCCTTAATTTTTCTATCGGCATTGACCTTTTAGGTCCTGATCCGACAAGCAACAAAAATATAGCCCAAAAAACCTCGCAAGTCGCACGTTTCGCAAATTTGTCGGAAGCGTAAACATTATTTTGAACAATAAAAAACCTTCATTATATCGGGTTTTTGACTTTTAAAACATTTTTAGTGACACTGTAGTTCATTTGGCTTTGATTTTCTCCCTTTTCCCCGTAAATTTTGAGCTTTTCATTCACAGTTATGGGTTAACTGGATCAAATGTTCTCTCTTAAACCAAAGTATAATATGTGGCATGTTTTTGACCAGCCAATAGGGACGTTTGTTTACTTTTATTTCTTCATTATTTTATTTTATTTTATTTTTTTTTGTGCGTTGTGAGAATTTTCAATAAAAGGCAGATCCTTGTTGTCGCTC